CAAGAAATCTCGACGCCCAGACCTCACAGCACGGCCGCCTGTTGTGAGGGTCCGCGCCCCGCAGGGAATTTCTGGGGAGGGTCCCAGAGAAACACGTGTGGGCGTGCAGCAAGCTTGAGGTTTGCGGAGTGCATTATCTCTGGAAAGTTCTGCAGCTTGTTCGTGTGAACGCACAGGGATGGTTCTGATAACCAGGGCAAAGTGGGTGAGTCAAAGGCCTTATCGCCACCCCCTTGGGCCGAAGGCATCACTGGAGTCTCCAGCTGGGATCAGGAACGGCCCCTGGCTGTCCGCGTCACTCCCTCCCCCCCCTCCCCCCGGGCCAGGCTCTAGGGCTTCACAGAGATGACAGGGGCGCAGAGTGAGGGTCTCATGTGAAAGCAGCTGATGCCACGGGGGTGACAAGTGAGTGTAGGGGGACAGTTAAGCTGGAACAAGGTCCCAGAGAGGGAAAGTCTTGGCAGCTGGGGCCAAGGAGGGTGCAGAGACTTCCGGGGCCTTGCCTTCGCTCCCATGAGCAGCTCCCTGAGACTGGGCTGCGGGGACAAGTGGTCTGAGGCATTCTCCAAAGGGACAGGGCGGCTCAGAGAATGGGCCTTAGGGGCCCAGGAAGGGGCAGGCCCATCGGGAGGGGTGTGGCTGTCCTGGCGAGGGGAGAGAGGCTTGGGCGGTCCAGTGCTGGCTGTGGATGGATGGACATGAGAGTCCGTGAGAGCGGCTGGCCGAGCAGAGAACAGGAGTACGGTGGGGGGAGGGATCCGGTTTCTGGTGGGAGTCGTGGGGGACAGGTGGCACTGCGGACAGAGGGTGACAGAGGTGATGAAGTTCAAACACAGCAGGCAGCTCGGGGGTGCAGGGGCTCTGCCGGCCAAGGACATGGACATGGCCGCTCAAAAGGCCACCTCAGTGGACACTGGGCTGCGTCGGAATCTTGAGGACTGTTGCGCTGACGATCAGGACTGCCTGAGGCTCCACGCGCAGGGAGGGAGAGTAGCGCTGGGTGGACACGCTGTCGTGGACCCAGATGGAATGCGGGTTTTTGGAGGGAGGTGCTGGCGGCAGCGTGGCCGCGCAGGGGCACAGGCTGGAGACACCAGGTGTGTCGGCGTGAGGCCACAGGACCTCGAGTAGGGGTGTTTGATGCCATTGCCAAAGGGGGATATGGAGGAGCAAGGCAGGGTGTCCAGAGCCTGGGGCCCCGAGCACAGAGCCTCAGGACGTGGCCTTGGGATCCAAGGGGCTGGGGACCCCGGCCGATGCCCCTGCTTCCGGGCGCCAGCGAGCGAATGAGCTGGAAATCGTATCTGGGCACCCTGACCATCACATGATCTGAACAGGCCCGCCTGGGGCCACACCCTGTCATTCTGAGGGGCTACTCTAGGTGGGGTGTTCGGGACTTGTTCCCTCTTGTGGCACCTGGGGGACCATGGCAGGTGGGACCCGGGGCTTCCGCACGAAGAGCACATCTCAGCCCGTGAGCATCTCCCCAGGCCCAACGGGACTTCCCGCTTTCTCCAGGCTGGCCCCCTCCGCTTGGCACCCAGCTTGCTGTATCCATCCCAACATCATGCCAGATGCAGCTTATGGTGGTTTTTGTGGTTTTAATTTGGCGGGAGTGGGCGAGAGGTATCACTGTGAACTCATAGATATTTGTTTCATTGTTTTTTATTTTTATTTATTTATTTTTTTTGCTTTTGGGGTCACACCTGGCAATGCACAGGGGTTACTCCTGGCTCTGAACTCAGGAATTACTCCTGGTGATGCTCGGGGGACCATACAGGATGCTGGGAATCGAACCCAGGTTGGCCACGTGTAAGGCAAATGCCCTACCCGCTGTGCCATCGCTGCAGCACCTTATTTCATTCTTTAAAAATAATTCTGTCTTATTTCCAGTCTTAGATAATTTTTCTAACAATTATAAAAATGTTGGTACCGGAGAGAGTATGGCGGGGTGGGGTTCTTGCCTTGCATGTGACTGGTCCAGGTTCGATCCCCGGCATACCATATGGTGAAAAAACATACCTAGACTGGGCGAAAGTGCCTCACAGATCTGAGAGACGACTCGTGAGCTCATTATGGAAAGTGATGAACTCAGCGTTATGAACTAGACATAGACAAAGAAAGACTAAGTTTCATTTCACCAAAATGTCCAGCATTATCTCCTTATCTCCCGAGAGGGCCTTATCTCCACTCCCTTGGCCTGAAGTCACCACCGACTCTCCAGTGAGGCTTGGAATGGCCCAGCTTGTTCCCGTGGAAAGTGAAAAGACAAGCGACTGAATGGAAGGAAATATTTGCCAATAATTCCTAACACGGGACCAGAGTGATAGTACTGTGGTGAGGGCATGTGCTTTGCATGCAGATGACGTAGATCAACCCCCAGCATCCCTTATGGTCCCCGATTACTACCAGTAGTAATTCCTCAGTCCCAGAGCCACGAGTAACCTCTGAGAATTGCTGGGTGTGGACCCCCCAAAAAAGCCTAAGACAAGAGGCTAGCACCTACAGCATATAAAAGATTACCATAACTCAGTAATTTTATCTGACATCGCTAAAAGATTTGAGTATACATTTCTCCAAAGAAGACGCTTACATGACCAATAAGCACCCGAGAAACTTCTCAATAATCATAAAATAAAACCCACAGTGCGAGTCTCTCCTGTTACTAAAATGGCTATATATGTTTGTTTTTGGGCCACATCTGGTGGTGTGTACTCAGGGATCCCTGCTGGATAGTGTTCATGGGGGACATATAGGGTGCCAGGGATGGGACCTGGTAATATATATGTAGCACTGTCCTCCCGTTGTTCACCGATTTGCTTGAACGGGCCCAGTAACATCTCCACTGTGAGACTTCTTGTTACTGTGTTTGGCATATCGAATATGTCACGGGGAGCTTGCCAGGCTTTGCCGTGTGGGAGAGATACTCTCGGTAGCTTGCCAGGCTCTCCGAGAGGGGCTGAGGAATCGAACCTGAGCCAGCTGTATACAAGGCAAATGCCCTATCCGCTGTGCTATATGTACGGTCACAGTCACGGTCTTCCTGTTGTTCATCGATTTTCTCAGCAGGCCCAGTAACGTCTCCATCGTGAGACTTGTTACTGTGTTTGGCATATCGAATATGTCACGGGTAGCTTGCCAGGCTTTGCCGTGTGGGAGAGATACTCTCGGTAGCTTGCTGGGCTCTCTGAGAGGGGCGGAGGAATCAAACCCGGCTCGGCCCTACCTGCTGTGCTATCTCTTAATATATATATATATATATTAAAGGTAAAGGCCCTCCCGTTGATCGTCGATTTGCTCAAGCGGGCCCAGTAATGTCTCCATTGGAGACTTTGTTGTTACTGTGTCTGGCATATCGAATACTCTTGGTAGCTTGCCGGGCTCTCCGAGAGGGGCGGAGGAATCGAACTCGGGTTGGCCATGTTGGCCGCTTGTAAGGCGAACGCCCTACCCGCTGTGCTATCGCTCCATTAAAAAATAATTTAAAAAAACACTAGGTGTTGGGGCTGGAGCAATAGCACAGCGGGTAGGGCGTTTGCCTTGCACGCAGCTGACCTGGGTTCGATTCCCAGCAACCCATATGGTCCCCCAAGCACCGCCAGGAGTAATTCCTGAGTGTATGAACCAGGAGTAATTCCTCTGCATAGCCGGGTGTGACCCAAAAAGCAAAACAAACAAACAAACAAACAACCCCCCCCCCAAAAACCTAGGTGTTGGAGGGCTGGATCGATACCACTGTAGGTAGGGTTTTACTTTATATGTGGCTGACCTGGGTTCAATTCCTCTGCCCCTCTTGGAGGGTCCGGCAAGCTACCGAGAGTATCTCTCCTGCACGGCAAAGCCTGGCAAGCTACCCCTGACATATTTGATATGCCAAACACAGTAGCAACAAGTCTCACAATTTGTTGTGAGACGTTACTGGTGCCCGCTTGAGCAAAATCGATGAACAACGGGAGGACAGTGCAGTGCTACTTGATGTTGGCAAAGACCTGAAAACACTGGAAGCTGTGGTGTCTGAAAGAATGAGAAATAATGGTGCATCTTTGTGAAGGTCTGAGTTTTTAAAACATTCCTCAGAGTGACTGGTCGCTCTGACATGTCCCGTTTCCCCAGGAGTGTCCCGGGAAGAAAGGAAAGAGCCCGCACCTACAACGAGAGTGTTGCAGCAGCATCATTTTGGGTCGATTCCAATGAACTTATGTACAGGACGTGGCCCAGCCACTGTGGGTAAGGTTGTGTCCATGAAACTCAAGGAAGTCTCCTCCCACCCCCGACCCCAGCTCAGGCTGGAAACGCTGCTGCAGGGAGGGGCCGAGGCCCAGGCCACTGCTAGCTGGGCTCCATTCGTATCAAACGACTGGGGGTGAGGGGTGGGGTGCCCAGAGAGGCAGGCGGCTGAGTGTTCCGGAGGCCGTGCCCGCGACACGGTGATGAACTGCAACTAGGCCGGCAGTCGTGCTTCATAGCGGCTGCTGTGAATGAGCGAAGCACCCCTCGACTCTACCCTGTCAGTGGGTGGGTCGGTCGCATGGGCTGTGCAGCAGATGCGGCCGGCAGAGAGCCCCCTGGCCCCGACGCCCCCGGGTGCCCCTTTGGGGCTCCGGCGTGGGGCCTGGGTAATGGCACTGCAGGGCGCGGGCGATGCTCCCGAGGGAACGGCCGTGCGGACAGTTCTCAGAAGCCAGCCCCGACTGGAACGGGCCTCGACGCGCGCACGCACCCCCCCTGCAGGGATTTAACCCGGGTGCTCAGAGGGGCGCCTGCAGGAGGGACGGGAGCGAGCAGCACTGAGCACGCGGCGTGCACGCGCGGCGGGGGCCGGCTCGCGCCCGTCCGGAAGTCGCGAGCCCAGCTGCGCCTGCGCCGTCCCGCCTCCCCACGTACACGCATGCGCCGTCCCGCACTGGCGCCGGCGCCGCATCTCATCTGCGCCTGCGCGGCCCCGCCCCCACCCGCGAGTTGCCCGGCAACCGGCTGGACGCGGCGCCGGCGCGCGCGCCATGGAGAGACCGGGCTGCACCGTGAGCGAGGCGGTGCAGGAGCACCTCCAGCAGCTGTGTCTGCACGACTTCCCCTGCGGCACGGGCAGCTGGGTGCGGAGACCCGGGGCTGGCGGCTGGCGGGGGCTGACTGGGGTCCCGGGGCCGAGCTCGGGCACGCCCGGGTGCTGGAGGTGGAAGAGGCAACCGCGCCTAGCAAGATCAGGTCCCGGGGCTGAGGACGTGGACCGTGGACCCTGCGGCGGCGGCCCGAGAGCTGACCCAGGGGCCTCCGACGTGTCGGCCGGTGCACGGCCCCGTCCTGAGCTGCGCAGACGCCAGGCTCCTTTTGGGGTGGAAAGCGCTTCCTGGGGTCCGAGCGTGCCCAGCCCTAGCTGACCCTGGACAGGAGCCTGAGGCTGGGGGGCAGGGAGCGGGGTCTTCCTGTCCTGCACGCCGGGCGCGCAGCCCAGCCCCTCGCCCCGCTCCGGTTCACGCCCGGCTGGGGAGCTGAGGTGGTTCAGGAAAGCCGAAGGGAAGCGTCGGTCGCGGGATACGGGCAGCCAGCGGGAAGAGCACGGCCTCCATCTAGAGGCCCCTCCGGAGGCAGCCCAGGTGTTGAGAGTAGGCGGGGTCCTGCCGGGCTGCGGCCCCCGGGTGAGAAGGTCCTTTGGCCTGGCCCGTGTGGCCTGCCCTGGCTGCACCGCGTCTCTGCTCTGAGCTGAGAATTCTCTTCCTCCCGCCTCAGAACAGGTCCCGCTTCCTCCCTCGGATTGGGCAGCGACGGCCAGGTCCCCAGGAGGAGCCGTTGCACGCCCTGCTGGACCTGGCCAGCAGCCCGCTCTCGCCCTGGGCCCTGCCCGAAGGCGCCAGCAACGAGGACCGCTTTCTGAAGGAGCTGGCCATCCGGAAGCCCAGGAAAATCAAGGACAGCTTTTTCTACTCCTACTTCACGTCCCTGCGCATGGTGGACAAGAAGGCGAGAGCCGGCCGGGGTCCCGAGAGAGTCCGTGTCCCCAAGGGCCTTAGGAGTTTGGGTGCAGACACTGCGTGAGGCTGGCGAGTGTGGGGAGGTCAGATCCATCTGTGGCCCTGGACTCTCACCTCCAACAGCTGACCGCTGGTTGCCCCGGTTCCGTAAGAGGTCTTGGCCCCGTCTACTCTGGCTGGCTTAACCGCGTGAGCCCTTGGGGTTCCTGACTTTTTTGGGGCGCATTGGCCCAGGAGCAACCGGCTGAGAGGGGCTTTCTGCCCTTGGCACCTCCCAGTGCACCGAGGGGCACAGGCCTGGTCTGGCACCCACAGTGCCCTGCAGTGCTGAGGGCACGGGTGCGGGGTTCCCCCTGGAGGAGGCGTCTTGTGCTCGGGAGCCCTGCTTCCGGTCCCAGAGCTCCCAGCTCCCCTTCCTGCCCTCCAGGTGAGCCTGGTGGACAAAGGGCTCCTGAGATTCCTGAGGCTGGAGGAGCTGATCCTGAGCGCCAACCAGATCCAGGACCTGGACAGCGCGCACCTGCCTCCCACGCTCAGGGTACGGAGCAGGAACTGCCCAGGCAACGGGCCACAGCGGGAGGGAGGGCCCCGGGGCCTGCAGTGGCTGGCCCCAGCGTCCCTGGGGCGCGGGAGGCTGTGGGAGTCAGATCCTGTGGGGGTGGCAGAGTTTTTGGCAAGTGCATGGTGGCGATGGTGGCAGTGCTGTGCGTGTCATTGTGCCGTGGCACTGTGGTCCTGAAATGCTCAGAGCGGGGGGTGGGGGGGCTGGGGATAGGGCAGGGGTGAGCCCGAGCACAGCTGGTGAGAACCCCCCAAAAAGATGAATTTATATATAAAAAAAGTTTATTTTAAGCTTTTTTTCCTTCTTACTTTTTATTTTTTTTTGTTTTTGGGCCACACCTGGCAGTGCTCAGGGATCATATGTGGTGCCGAGGATCAAACTTGGGTCACTCATGTGGAGAGCCAACGTTCTACCCATTGTACTATGGTTCTGGCCCCTCTTTTGCTTCTAAAAAATACATATATGTACAAAACACTGTCACTGCCTTCCTGCTGTTCATCGAGTTGCTTGAGCGGGCACCAGTAACATCTCCATTGTGAGACTTGTTCTTACTGTTTTTGGCATATCGAATACACCACGGGGAGCTTGCCAGGCTCTGCCGTGCGGGCGAGATACTCTCGGTAGCTTGCCGGGCTCTCTGAGAGGGGCGGAGGAATCGATCTCGGGTCGGCCATGTTTGCCGCTTGCAAGGCAAATGCTCTACTGCTGTGCTATCACTTCAGCCCATATATACATGTATATATATGTGTGTGTATACACACACACACACATACATATACATATATATACATTTTGTTGTTGTTAATTTTGGTTTTTGGGGTCACACCTGGCAATGCTCAGGGGTTCCTCCTGGCTCTGCACTCAGAAATTACTCCTGGTGGTGCTCGGGTCCCCCTGGCATATGGGATGCCAGGGATCGAACCCTGGTGGGCTGTTTGCAAGGCAAACACCTAACTCTCCAGCCCCAATAAAACACTTTTTAAAAAAGACCAGGGCCATGGCGACGGCACAGAGGGCTGGAGCACATGCTTTGCACGTGGGAGCCCAGGTGTGATCCCCAGCAGCACGGGAACCCCCATGCCTGGGGCAGAGTGGCTTAATGATCAAACTCCTACCAGGTGATCTTCCCACTGAGGGGTCCCCAGAGCGACCCCTGTGGTGCTGGCCCCGCCAGGCGCCCCCCGGGGAGTTAACCCTGATTTCCAGGAATTGATGGTCCCGGAACCGTGGCTCAGGCAGAGGCTGGTTCGTGCCCTTGGTCTGTCCAGGAGCCCCTGGGCTCTCCTGAGACCCACGCCCTCCCCAGAACTCCCCTGCCTCCAGCCCTGTCCACCCCTCCCGCTTCAGATGTTTTCACTTTGACGCCTGAGATACTGGCTGGGCAGTGCCAGGGATTGACCGCAGCCCCCGCCCCCTGCAAGGCCCGGGCTCCCACCCTCCCGTTCTGAATGTCCAGGAAAAAAGGGAGAAACTCCCATCAGCTCGCGGTCAGCGGGGCGAGGGGGCGCGAGGACCGAGGCTGGTGGTGCCCGCAGGTACTGGAGCTGTACGGGAACCGGCTGCGGAGCCTGGAGTGTCTGTGCGCGCACCCCCCGCCCCGCCTGCAGCACCTGGGCGCTGGCCACAACCAGCTGCTGGGCCCTGCCGAGAGCCTCTTCCTCACTGCGGAGCACTGGTGACCCGGGCCCCGGGGAGGCAGGGGTGGGCTGGTGAGGGGCCCCACCCCAGAGGAACGACCAGGCGTGTCTGCCCAGTGCCAGGCAGGCGGGGTGGGGGCCCGCGGGAGACCCCCGCTGATGGGTTGGTGTGGGACACTGAGTCCCTGTAGCGAGGGAGGGGGACAAGCCCCCTGAGACCCAGGAGCCCCGTGTCCTTGGGACAGGCAGCACCTGTGGCCCTGCCCGAGTGCTCTGAGGTTCCACCCAGGGAAATCCCCAAATGCCGAGCCTGGTACCCTGCGCTCAGGCCCTCAGACACCCCCTTCCACCTGCCCCCTGGACCATATCTTATGCTGAAGGCGCGATGGGGGGACCCTTCCCCTGGGCTGGTGGCGAGGGGGGAGTTCTCAGAGCGGGGGTCCGTGCTGGGGAGCAGGCCGGGATTCGAGCACCTCGCCTGACCTGCGCAGAGCAGAGGCCGGGAAACATTTCTGAGCCCCAGGCCCAGGGCACCCGCTGGTCCCCGTTTTCACCCTCCTCTGCCCCCCATGTACTCCCCCACCTGCCAGTCTGTCTCTCCTGGTGAGGAACCTTCTGGACACTGAGCTCAGCTGCTCAAGGGACACTCGGGGTTTCCCTGGGAAGAACCGGGCTGTGGAGGAAGTTGGGGCAAAGGGCTCCCCGAGGGCCCCACCCACCTCAGCATCTGGCCACGGTTGGCCGGGACAGGGCCTGGCAGAGCCCTGATGCCTGGACTGTTCCCCGTGCCCTGATGGCTGGACTGTCCCCGGGCCCTGATGGCTGGACTGTCCCCGGGCCTGACTGCTGAGCCGTCCCCGGGCCCTGACCACCAGGCCGTCCCCTGGGCCCTGACCGCCGGACCGTCCCCTGGGCCCTGACTGCCGGGCGGCCCCGCTCCCCCAGGCCCAGCCTCGTCTCCCTGGACCTGAGCTTCAACAACCTGACGGACCTGCACGCCATGACGGCCGCGCTCCGCACGCTCAGGCAGCTCCGGCTGCTGCTGCTGTTGGGCAACCCGCTGGCCCTCGTGGCGCATTACCGCGGCTTCACCATCGACAGCCTGGCGCCGCTCTGCGTGCTGGATGACCTCACCGTGACGGCCAGTGAGAAGCATCAGTTCCGGGGGCTCAGCCGCGAGGCAGGTGAGGGGACGTGTGGGTGTGGGGCCCAGGGCCCTCGTGGCCCATAGGAACTGGGTGGAGATTTTTCTCTTTTTAGTTTAATTTTATTTTTATAAAGTTGTTTGCAGTATTCGATTACATTCAATATTTGGACACCAATCCCACCACCATTACATCTTCCCACCACCATATTTGGGATGTTTCCATCCTGAACCCCAAATCCTGCCTCCAAAGCAGAACTGAAATAATTTATTTTGTATTGCTTGTCATGAATAATCTGCTAAGAATGATCCACAAAAGGTTTCTTAGAGGAAAGTGTGTGAAGATTGTTGTATTTCACTCAGGGGCCATTAAGCCCTGGAGCGACAGCACGGCGGTAAGGCGTTTGCCTGGCGAGCAGCCAGCCCGGTGAGCTGGGTTCGATTTCTCTGCCCCTCTCGGAGAGCCTGGCAAGCTACAGAGAGCATCTCGCCTGCATGGCAGAGCCTGGCAAACTACCCGTGACGTATTTGATATGCCAAACACAGTAACAACAAGTCTCACAATGGAGACGTTACTGGGCCCACTCGAGCAAATCGATGAACAACGGGAGGACAGTGACAGGACAGTGTATTTGTGTTACTACACTTGATCTTAGCCAAAAGGCCGAGATAAGAGATTACTAACCTGTTAAAGGTTTAGGCGTGTGTGCGTGCAGAGATTATATACATACACACACACACATATGGGCAGAGCCTGGCAAGCTCCCTGTGGCGTATTTGATACACCAAAAACAGTAATGATAACAGGTCTCATTCTCCTGACCCTGAAAGAGCCTCCAATCATTGGGAAACATGAGTAAGGAGAGGCTGCTAAAATCTCAGGCTGGAAGGGGCTGGAGCGATAGCACAGCGGGTAGGGTGTTTGCCTTGCATGCAGCCAACCCGGGTTCGATTCCCAGCATCCCATATGGTCCCCCGAGCACCGCCAGGAGTAATTCCTGAGTGCATGAGCCAGGAATAATCCCTGTGCATCGCCAGGTGTGACCCAAAAAGCAATAAATAAATAAATAAATAAATAAAAACAAAATAAAATCTCAGGCTGGAAGGAAGAGAGATGTGACTGGTGCCTGCTCGAATAAATCGATGAACACCGGGAAGACAGTAAGACAGTGATGCAGTGATGTATATATGTATCTGTGTGTGTGTGTATTTGCGCCTAAGATTGGTTGCCTTCTACTTTAAACCCCATCAAATGTGGTGTGCCACTCTTGGAATATCAGTGGTGTAGAGTATGAGGGTCACTCCTGGGTGAGGCCCATCCGAGCATGTGGAGAGCAGCCGTGAGCCTGGCGGCGGTTGAGTCCTGGAAGTTTTTGGCTGCCGGGCCTGGCTCTGTTGGGGCGGGGCAGGGGACTCACCTGTGGGTGACGATTTATTCACAGTGGAGGCTTGTGCATCCCGAGTCCCCTTATGGTCGAGTGTCAGAACACAGATGGCAATGGCCTTTCCGCTGTGGGTCAGGTGTGGCTGAGGGCAGTGACTCTGGTGCCTGAGAGATGGCATGCAAAGGCAAGCGGCCGGTGGGTGTGGATCTTCCACCGCCGGGCTGGGAACCCATGTCAGTTAGACAGACTCGGTGTCCTAGAGTTCTGGAAGGCTCCAACGTCCTCCCTGCCCCCGCAGACCTCCTGGAGAACAAGGCACAGATCACGGTGACCATCAACAGCTTGCGCGGCGTGCTGGACTCCTCCATCTGGGACCCAGAGCCCGGCCCTGACGGGCCCTTCATCGCCTACAACTATTATGTGACCTACGACTTTGTGGAGGATGAAGAAAGCATGAAGAAGGAGGAGTTTGAGAGTGTGCTGGCCGAGGTGTGCCTGTAGGCTGCCTGGCCCATGAGGGTGTGGGGGCCCCTCAGTCCAGAGCTCCCTCCGCTGACCCCCTGCCAGTTATGCTCCCAACTCTTCCTCCACCTGACCCCCTAGAAATGGGAGGGGCCGGAGCGATAGGACAGTCGGGAGGGCATTTGCCTTGCACACGGCTGACTCAAGTTCAATTCCCGGCATCCCATATAGTCTCCTGAGCATCTCCAGGAGTGATCCCTGAGTGCAGGGCCAGGAGAAACCCCTGAGCATCGCTGGGTGTGACCCAAAAAGCAATAAAAAATAAAAAGGGAGTGAACGGCCTAGCAGGGGCCAACGAGGGGGCTGCAGCCCCCACCCCGAGGGGAACAGCCCCCATGGAGAAGCTGGTGCCTGTACTTCACCTCGAGTTTGGCTGGAAGCAGACAGGGCTCTGGCTCCCTGTGCCCTGGTCCTCGCAGCATCGTGGGCCCTTTCTGCCAAGCCGCAAGACGGGGGTGAGCAGGATCTTCCCTCCTCCACCAGATCGTCAGGCCACCTTCCATGGACCATTTCAGCGAGGAGTTTGGTGACGACGAGGAGGTGGAGGCTGGCGAGAGCCTGCAGGACGACGAGTGGGTTTCCCAGGGCACGGCCATGGAGGAATCTGACATGTCCCGAGAGTCCTCCGGCAACCAGAGCACCGTGAGGACGCGGAACTCGGAGGAAAATGAGCTGGCCAAGCTGCGGCCCCTGGTGGATCTCCGGGTGGTCCCGTCGCATGGGTGAGGAGGGGGCTGTGTGTGGAGCACGCTTGGCCTGGGAGGGCGCGGCACAGTTCCCTTTGGGCAGCGGCAGTTGTGAGGAGCAGGTCTGGGGCCCACCCAGCGCCCCCGCCAAGCACCATAAGCACTGCTTGATGTGGCCCCCAAATCTCTCCCAGGTGCATTGAGTGACTAGGATCAAACCCGGGGACTCACACATGCCCCATTGGAATCTGACACATCTCCTGAAGTGTGGGGCCATCTGCGGTGTCAGGGGACCCGGCAGGGCCACTGCCGTGACATTGGTTCTGCAGTGTGGGTCTGGTCTTAGGGCCCTGACAGTTGGGGGGGGGGGGTCACCACTGGTGCTGTGCTGGAGCTCAAACTCAAGGTTTCGCGTGTCAGGCATGTGTTCTACCAATGAAGTGCTCACCCCGAGAGCTTCAGTCTGCTTATAGATCTTGGAAATCATTTGAACTTGGAGCCCAGAGTCTCCTGGTAAGCTTTTATATTCCCTCTACAATTGCTTTTGCCATCAAAACTCCTCTGATGTGACGGCCAGTGGGGGTAGAAAAGGGGGGGGAGTTCTCCATGGACTGTGCATGGAGATGACAATGACAATGACAGCCAGATTGTCTGTTCAGGATGTGGCAACTCCAGTAAGTTTTGAGTTTGGGGGTCACACTCAGTGGTGGTCAGGGGCTGCTCCCAGCTTGATGCTTCGGGGACCCTGTGGTGCTGGAGATGGAGCTTGGGGGTCCCGGATTGCCTTTAAGGCAGCTCCATACCCCTTGTGTGTTTTCTTTGTTCTTTTGGCTTTTGGGCCACAGAGCAGTGATCAGGGCTTACTTCTGGTTCTGTGCTCAGGAGGTCCCTCCTGGCAGGGCTTAGGGAACGATTTGGGGTCCCAGGTTGGCCTGGCCAGGAGAGTGGGCCTTAACCCTTTGCTCTCTCAATTTCTCGCTTCCCACACAACTGATGCTGTTCGCCTGCCCTGGACGAGGCCATTCTTTTTTCTTTTTTGGATTTTGGGCCACACCCAGCAACACTCAGAGGTAACTCCTGGCTCTGTGCTCAGGAATTACTCGAGGTGGTGCTCAGGGGACCATGTGGGTAGCCGGGTTTTGATGCGGGCTGGCTGCCCCTGCCGTCCTATCCTCCGATCCCATGCACGGGTTTCACCTCTATCGTCTTGCAGCCTGGACGTGCTGTTCTCGCTTTCCTTCCAGGGTGTGTCCAACCTGTCGCTGGTGAAGTAGCCCCTTGTTTGTCACTGGAGTTGTCACTCAGAAGGTGCCAGTCTGGGGTGGTGGGCTCGGTGCGACGAGCGGAGCGTCTAGTGGGCCTTCATGCTCACGTTTTCTCTCATTGGCTTTGGGCCCCACGTCGCCGTGTGCAGCCCCCATGCTGGGGCATTCAGCTTCCTGTAGCTGTGTCCCCCAGCCCCCCTCCTGGGCCAGCCCCAGAACCTGTCTTCCCGCTGCCTGTTTTTTGTTTTTGCGACCTGTCTCCCACGCGCACAGTGGTGGCCTGTGGCCGGCCCTCTCCTGAGGCCCCGTGTCCACCGTCACATCTGGGCCACTGTGTGTCTGCTGGCTGGTTTTCTGGTGCTGCTTCTGCCCCCCAGATGTGCCCAGATCAGCAAGCTCCTGCCCTTGCTTTTGTCAGCAGTGACCGGGGCTCGCAGTGCCCAGGGATTGTACCTACATGCACGGCCTGCCTGGTGTGAGCAGAGTGTCCCATTGTGGTCCTGCTCCCCTAAGCGTGCTTCTGTGCACGGGGGTCCCTGACCTCAGTCCAAGACTCTTGATGGCCACCAATGACTTCTGGGAACGTGCAGTGAAACGACATTTTTCCACCAATGACTTCTGGGAACGTGCAGTGAAACGACATTTTTCCACCTCTGTTTTCTTCCTTCCCTTCCCTCTCCCTTCCCTCTCCCTTCCCTCTCCCTTCCCTTCCCTCTCCCTTCCCTCTCCCTTCCCTTCCCTCTCCCTTCCCTTCCCTCTCCCTTCCCTCTCCCTCCCCCTCCCCCTCCCCCCTCCCCTCCCTCCTTCCCTCCATTCCTTCCTTTTCTTGTTTTGGGTCACACCCGGCAATGTACAGTGGTTACTCCTGGCTCTGCATTCAGGAATTACTACTGGCAGTGCTTGGGGGACCATATGGGATGCAGGGGATTGACCTTGGGTTGGGCCCTTGACACCGTTTTCGGATTCGCTCTTGGTGGGTCTCTCTGGTCACCTGATGCTCACAGTCCTGCCTACCCCAGGACAGTGCTCTTCAGCACCGCCCGCAAGCCCTACAGCGACGTCATCACCTACAGCTACCAGATGCAGCACAATGTCAAGGGGCTGGCGTCTCTCAAGACCTTCCTGCTGTCGGGGACCACCATCACCATCGTGGAGGAGAAGGTGAGACCCCCTGCATGCTCAGCGTCCCCGGAAAGGCCCAGCTGACTCCAGCGCACTCCGTCACGCCACTGCACTGCCCCTAGATTCTCTCCTGGCATCTAGTGTCACCTCCCTCCAGCCCCATGTCTTTAAAAAGAAGCAAAGGGGGCAAGAAAGGAAGTAAGGAGAAAAGCAAGAAGGAGAAGGAGAAAGACAAGAAGAAGGAGGAGAAGAAGGAGAAGGGCAAAGGGCACAGACAGTCGGTGAAGGTAGGGGGTGTCTGTCGATGGGGTGGCACTGCTGGCCACTGCTGGGCCTCGACCACATCTATCCCCCCCCCACCCCAGGAACCGGCATCCAAGAAGACAAAGGTGGTTTCCAAGGAGCTCCACCAGGATGCCCCCATCCTGAAAGTGCTGGGCAGAGCCCACATCTCCCTGGAGCCCCTGGTGGCTGGGGACTCCACCGTGTCCATGGTGCTCAACTTAGGGGTGATCCGCACCCTGGAATCTGACAGGCTGACCTTTATGAGGGTACAGTGGCCTCCGAGCCTGCCGCAAGCCCCCACATGGGCAGCCCCATAGCACACAGGCAGTGGGGGTGGGTGGGTGGCCTCCAGCCCAGGGGTCAGGCGTCTTGCCAGGTCCTGCCCGGCCTTCCTGCAGATGGAAGCCCCCAGAATCGCCCCAGACACCCCCCACTCCAACAAGCCTGTCTCTGTGGTTCTCTCAGGCTCTCAAGATGAAGAGTAAGAAATCCCGGCGAGGTGAGAGCCGCTGATGGGGTGGGGGTCGGGGGCAGATGGGTATGTGATGGTGGCGTTTGCTGCTGTTTGCTGAGTGGGAATTGAACCCAGAGTCTCTGGCAGCAAAGCCTCAGCCAAATGTGTTCATTCCCCGAAGCACTGGAGCAGGCCAAGTCTAGATCCAGGCAACAGCTACGTGAATAGCCGTCTCCAGAGGGCGGGGCTCAGGGCTCGCTCACAGTAGTGGGATGGAAAGACCCCCTCCACCCTTGGCCCTGGGCAGGAGACGGGCAGGGTCCATGATGTGGGGTACCCATCTGGGGGTGACTAGACAGCTGGGAGCAGGGCAGTGGGGAGAGGTCAGCCCTGGGAGCGCCGGGCACATGGGGCGCTGGCTCTCTCCATGTAAAGGGTTAATTCTCTGCATTTTTATCTCAGTGAAAGAAATTTCACTAAAAATAGTATAGGGCGGGACTGGAGTGATAGCACAGCGGGTAGGGTGTTTGCCTTGCACGCAGCCGACCCGGGTTCGATTCCCAGCATCCCATATGGTCCCCCAAGCACCGCCAGGAGTAATTCCTGAGTGCATTGTCGGGTGTGACCCAAAAAGCAAAAAAAAAAAAAGTATAGGGCAAGAAAATTGCAGCAGAGACGTGGGAGGTCCTGGAGGCAGCAGACTGCCAAGAGGGTCTGCCTGGAGTGGGGGGGGCACAGGCCAGGGGGCTGCTCTGGGAATAGCCGCCCCTCCTCTTCTCCCCACAGCTGTGCCTGAATGGCCTGGTTGCGGCAGGGGGTGCCCCTTGGTGATCCTGGTTGGTGGGTGCAGGGCTGGTTCTGGTCGGTGGTCCCATTGGTGGTGGGGGGGGAGGGGGCATGTCCGAGACAGCCATTGGCGAAGCCTGAGCTGGTTCTGGGTGCCACTTGTCTGTCTTTCAGAGAAGGGGAAGTCTACAGTGACAGAGTTCGACGAGAACTACCGGCCTGAGCCACTCACCGTGGAGGTGCAGATCCAGCTGAACCAGTACCGCTCGGCCGAGGAGGCGCTGCGCACTGTCACCTCCGTGTAGGCACAAAGAAAGGCTCTTCCTGCTGCCTGGCCCTGCGTGCTTGCCCCGTCGCGTGGAGTGGGGGGTACTGCTGGGAGGTCCGGGGGGGCGAGGCGGCGTGGCCTCTGCAGACCACGCCCACAATCCCCGGCCCCCTGCCCCTGCCCCGGGAGAGGGGCCCAAGGTGGGTCCATCCTTGCCCTGACACCCAGCGGGCTTCGGGAGTATGGGTGTCACCCGTAGGGCCCCGCTTCCCCCCAGAGGGGCCAAGTAGTGGCTGAAGCCCCCGGGAAGGAAACAGGGTTTGGGGGGAAGCGGCGCGTGGGGGAGCAGAGTAATGAGGCAGGGAGTGGGCAGCCTGGCCACTTCAGCACTGGGCTCCACCTGCCCAGCGCTTCCCTCCTCTCGGTTATCCATTTCTGAGGGGTGCAGGGGCCACCTTGGCAACGATGTCAATTGCTCGTTTTGCGGCCACCCAGGCGGTGCGCAGGGAGCGAAGTGTGGTTCTGTGCCGGGGGGCCAGGCAGCCCTGGGATCAAAGCTCGGACTCGGCCCTGCTAGGCTCCCTCTGGCCCCTCAGTTTTGACCATCTACTTAAACCTCCGTTGGTGGGCCTCGGACGCCCATCCTAAGCCTTGGCAAGCCCTCTCCAGGCTCTCCACGCCTGCCCTTGACCCTGCCTTCTATGCTCCAAGCTCTGGCTCCATCTGCCTGGCACACTGCCCCCTGCTTTTGAGGTTTGACCCCTCACCTCATTCAGCTCGTGTGCAGATATGGTGACTACACTAAACCACTCCCCAGTCAGTTACTAGCCTGAGTCAGGAGTGAGGACATCCTACAAAGGGGCTCACTCAGGGTTTCTCCAGCTGCACTGCAGTGTGGGTGGCCACTGCCTGTTCCCTGCCCATTGCATGCTAAAGGGAGGGGATGGGGTCTTTGTCCACTCCCCGATGTGCTGGGATCCGGCCCAGGAGCTCCTGGTGGGAAACATTATCCACCAGGCCCCACCCAAGAGGAACCTGGAGATCAGTCCTTCATCCTGCTCTCCATGTTCACGGCCCCCCACTACTCACCTATGCTGGGGGCACTGGGCACCAGGATCACCGTCTTGCACCTCCACAGCTGTGGAGGATGCATCATCCTTCCCCACTGACGTCTTGGGCATCTGCCTGATGAGTCTGGGGGTGCAGCGTCTCAGCCCCCACGTGCGCACTGACATTGAGGCTTGAGGTGTGGGGGAGCAGCTGCTCTGGAATGGATTCAAGTACTGATTTGTAGTGTGAGGAGAAGCTGAGGTGGGATCCTGGTGACTTAGTGTCACCTCTCCCAGCTGTGCTAACTGATGCAAAACACAGGTTGCTGGGTTGCTTAGGGGGAGCGCTGCTTTGCCTTCAGCCCCTTGATGAAAGGAAAACCATCAAACCTGGCTTCCGGTGTCAAACGGGAACCATGAAGACTACCATGGGAGGAGCATTTTTCGAACCCCCTGGGGGGCTGCCAGTCAGGAGGGACACTAAGCAGAGCCCCATTAAGACACACACCAACATGTCTTTTTTTCAAAAAAACAATTATTCAGTTTCAACAGCTACTAGCAAGGAGGAGAGAACACGGTGCTGAGTAAGGCCTGTTGAGAGCACCAGGTCCGCTCTGGTTGTCCCCAGATACTGTGGCCGCTGGGCTCCTGGATCTGAGTGGACTCACAGGGCAGGAAAGGAAACCAAATACTAAAAGAAACCTAACAGGAAAGGTTCCCCTGTTCTCAAAAAACGGTTCTGGAGGGAGCAAACAGTAAGTCAGTGTGAGTCAGATTGGAAACTAAAGTTAGAACAGCCACCAAACTTTGGGACAGGACTACCGAGAGCCCGCTCTGGCCCAGCAACGGGAGGGGAGGGTGGGAGGGCAGCTGTGAGTCGCTGAACAAAGTGCGGTGCCCTCGGGCGAAGAACAGGTGCAGTATAAGCCTGAGATGTGGGGAAGGGGCCAGGCTGCCACGGCTCAAAGGCCTCAGGCCTGCAGCGTCCTCTGCAGGCAGCTGCCACCGTGGGGGAAGGTGGGGTCCGCCTTGCTTCCCACTCAGACACGGGCGGCGGCTCCGACCCTCAATCCTCTCGTAGGTAGGCATCGTGCTCCGCCTCAGCCCTCTCATCCGCTTCCTCCTGAGCTTTCTGACGGAGCTCCTCTGTCTGTGCTTCGGCCAACTTGGTCTCCGCCTTCTGGGAGAGCTGGCGGACCTCCTGCACCTGTGACTTCACCAGCTGGATGTGATTCCTGGCAGTTATAGAGGCCTGATCTGCTCCTGCCAAAAGACGGGACAGTGAAGCTGAGCAGTTGCCCAGGGACGCAGCCCAAGTGGAGGGCACGAGGCAGTGCTGGGATGAGTGGCCCCTGGAAGCCACTTTCCTCCCCTCCTTTCTCAGCCTTCTTTCTACCTCCACACTCTTCACTCTCAAACCCCAGTCCTTCCCCCAGCATCAGCAGCTGTCACGGTCACTAAGTGCAATTCCTAGCGTGTATTTTTTTTTCTTCACAGAGTTAGATAAAGAATTTAATACAATTTTCGGTTGTTTCGGGGGTCCATGTCTAATAACCCTTTGATCACATGCAAGTGACTTATCCGTTGTACTATTCCTCAGGCCCCAATTTAAGCACCTCCCCCCCTGCATTATCCTTCTGGCACTGTTGAAATTTTTTTTTCTTTTTGGAACACACTGGCAATGCACAGGAGTTACTGCTGGCTCACCACTCAGTAATTATTTCTGGCAATGCTCGGGGGACCAAATGGGATGCTGGAATCAAACCCGGTCGGCTGTGTGCAAGGCAAACGTCTTACCCACTGTGCTATTGCTTCAGCCCTAAATATGTATTTTTTACAGAGCCGAGGAAAGAACCAGGATTTCATACATGTATGATCAGCTCTTTATTACTGAGATACATCTCAGACCCTTTTATTTTTTAAATAACATATATATATATATATATTTTTTTTTTTTGCTCTTTTTTTTTGTTTTTGGGCCACACCCAGCAATGCTCAGGTGTTACACCTGGCTCTGTACTCAGGAATCACCCCTGGTGGGCTCAAAGGACCACCATATGGAATGCTGGAGGTCAAACTTAGATTGGCAGTGTGCAAGGCAAGCGCCCTACCCACTGTACTCTCTCCAGCCACTAGAATGTTCTAGATTACTGATATAGCACCTTGCATATATAGCTGCTGATAAAAGGACTGATGTCTGGCTAGAGAAATGGCATAAAGTGCCGAAGCCCAAGCTTTGCAGATTGGCGGTCCAGGATCCATCTCTAGCACAGACTGGTCCCTCAGTCACCATGTTGGGAACAGCCCCTGGACACTCATAGGGTTTGACCCAAACACCCACCCCCCAAAAACTAATGTCTCAATAACTTTGTAGGTAAGCCTGTATTTTATAGTTTTTTAAATAACTATGTGTTCTCTTCACAATTCAAGTCTACAGTGAAGAATGGTACTACCTCTCCAACCCCAAGTATTTTACCATTTAGAGCCACAGCTGTGGGGTTTGGGGAACCTTAGGTAGTGCCAGGGACTGAACCCGGGTCAGCCGTGCGCAGAGCCAAATGCGAGTGCTTTACGCACTGTGCTCCCTCTGACCGAGAGAGCTTGTATTTAACATACTGATTTTCCAATAAAAGCCAAACTGTATTTGCTGTGAGTTCTTAGAGAGGATACCAGTACAGATAAGCTGTTGCATGAGTTTTTTTCCTCAGATACAATACTTGAAACTTTGCAGTTCAAGTGCAACAGATGAAAACTGTTGCTTTTACACTGGTGCAGAGACTGAAGAATGAACCATTGGGAGCAAAAACTTTAGAACATTTGCCAGCTGGCTGAACTCCAGTTTGGCTGCTTGCGGACTAGTACAGCACCTTGGGTGAATCAATTAACCTCTCCCCCAGTTTCATCCCCTGCAAAGCGCAAATGTTAATAACATCTACTTTAAGAGAATTCTCTGTAAGCTCGCCACCAGGCCTGAAATAATGGTAACTATAATGTGTCCTGGTTTTACCACTATGCACAGGTCTCACTTTCCCCACTTGTACAAAGGTTCACACAAATTCTAAGTCTCATCCAACCTGTCATTCCAAGCCTAATTCTTCACAAGTTATCTGGAATTTTATTTTATTTATTTTGGCTTTTTGGGTCACACCTGGCGATGCTCAGGGATTACTCTGGCTCTGCACTCGGGAATCACACCTGATGGTGCTCGGGGGACCATATGGGATGCTGGGAACCGAACTCTGGTCAGCCACGTGCAAGGCAAACGCTCTACCCGCTGTGCTATAGCTTCAGCCCCTATCTGGAACTTTAATGTTTAATTCAATTTTTCCAACTATTGGGGCTGGAGAGATAGTATGTAACTGTTAAAGGCACTTGCCTTGCACATGGCTAACCCAGGTTCAATCCCTGAGCACTGCACGGTGTGCAGAACAGAAAACTGTACTTCCCAATGATAAGCTTTTTCCTCCATTTTCTTTTTAAAAACGTAGGAGTATTGCTATTTATTCAGCCACTGATTAAGCTGATTGAATTGGGTATGAACACTTTTTTTTTTTAACTGAACCATCTTGAGATACAGATACAAAGCTTTCATGTTTGAGATTCAGCCATACAATGATCATTTTTTCCTCCATTTTCTAAATAGTACCGAGTCTGTTGGTCTGGTCTACAGGGGAATTTTTCATAATCTGCAAATACAATTCTGGTTAGAAATGACAACATACTTTCACAAAGTCAGAGCCGGAGTGGGGTTCTTGACCCGCACCCAAAGCCTCGTTCTACAGCCAAGCCCCAAACGGCACCTCCATAATAAAAGTGTTCACCTGTCTGGTAGGCAGCTTCCGCGGCCATCTCGGAAAGACTCACGGCAGTCATCCAAGAGGTCTCCAGTTTCAAGTACTCTTGCTGCTTTGAAGTCATCTGTAAATTAACCAAAATGTTTCAGACAGCCTCTAGAGGTTAAGCACATCTAAAGAGATTTCCTCAAATAGATTAAGAGAACAATTATGGGGGGAGGGGGTGCCTTAATAAAAGATCCGGCAATGCAGTAAGGCAATACTTAATACTTTTTTTGTTTACCTCAACTCTGGCTCCTATGATCACCTGCCACACTTCATCTTCTTCCTGTGAATTCATTTTCCCAAGTAAACTTGTATATTGCCGATAGAGAGAAATTAAGGTATAGACAGCCTATAAACACAGAATAATTACGAGTAAATTATCTGAGGCATATTAGGATTGAGACACCTCAAAGAAATAAAAATCCCTTTACAGAAAACTGGCTTCTCCTTCCCCTACCCTCGCTGAAATTTAACCGTTGTGTATCGCAGAGGAATTGTTCCAGAGCATGAGAATCTCTGCTTTCAACACATCAACTTTCATGTCTTTAAAAGTTTGCTAGCAATTCAGATATAGAAAGAAAACACAACACAGAGTTTGAAACTCAGGAGGGTAAGGAAAACAAGCTACTGGAACACAGAAGTAAAAGAAAATGAGATTTGTAACTGGCTTTGGTAACCCATGTTCTATTAAGTCATTTCAGTGGCTTTCAAACTATATTAGTGGAGAAACAGTATAGAGCTTCCCAAACTTAACCCAACCCAAGGACATTTACCTTAGTATAATCTGTGATGGCCTCGATCAGAGCATATGTGGTCTGAGAGAGAAATGTAGAGGTGCTATCTGTTACCAAGGACACTGCCCTCCTCATTAACGCATCGTTACTGAGAGACTGAGGGTCTGATTTCTGAAAGACAAGAACATTTTGGCCTGTTCACTCGCTTTTTAAGCCTGTGTTCTCTCTTGAACACATATTCCTCTTTCTCTCCCCTCACATCTCTCTAAATTTCTTCTTCTTTTAATGAATCACTGTGAGATGGAAACTTTTGCGATTATGTTTCAGTCATACAATGATCGAGGACCCACCCCTCATCTCTAAATTTCTTTCAGAAAAACTTATCTTGCTTCACTAGAAGGGAGAAAAAAACATGTTAGTGCTTTTCCTTCTTCGACAAAGTATCTGGATCCTGTTATTTCTCTGTATTGTAGGTAGATAGGAAGAGGGGCCCTGGTAATGTACTTTTGGGAAATAATAAAACTTAAAGAGGTTGCCTAGCCCTGAAGTAGCCCAAAGGCATGAAGACCACATCCCTTTGAAATACAAATCCTAAGCTCCTTGGAGAGGAGAAACGGAGGCACTACCCAGATACAGAAATCCAAGGCTCCCCTCAAAAGGAGAAGCTCAACAACAATCTGAGATTACGAAGAGATCATTGATGGTACAAGGCTTTCCTGTGACAAGGCCCAATTAACTTGGATACATATACAAGCAAGCAAACAAACAAAAAGACCCAAGAGCAACCACTGCTGGTTGTGGGGAGAAAGAAACTCATTCACTGCTGAGGGAATGTCAGTCTTTTAGGAAAACAGTGTTCCTAAAAAATCTAAGGATTAAGCTTCCATCTGACTCTGCAACCCCACTTCCCAGGATACTCCTAGAATCCAAACACAAAGTGGAAAAGGCATTTGGACATATGTTCCTTGTAGCATTATCCACAGTAGCCAAAATCTGGAAAGAACCCAACCAAGAAGAGATGACTGAATAAAGAAACTGGTACATGCACACAATGAAATATTACTCAGTCATAATAAAATATAAAAGTCATGCAGTTTGCTGTTATACAGAGGGACCTGTAAAGAGCACTCTGAGGGAAATCAGAGCGAGACACACAAACAGGATGATCTCTCTCAACTGCGGGGTTAGAAGGAAACATAATCGGATAACAAATACCCAAAGACAGTGAAAACTGGTAGCAGGAAGAAGCGTCTGAGGGAGCTGGGAGGTAGGACAGGAATGGGACAAGGACCATGATGGAGTGAAAATCAGCCAGGAGGAGGTGGTGCTGAAAGGGGTAAATATGCAATTCTATCGGCAACAGCACTGTAAAACGCAATGCAAAAACATGTATTTTGAAAAGCGTCTCTCAGCGAGGTAGACTGGCGGTGAGAGGCAAATGGGGTAAACTGGTGGAGGGAAGTAGGCACTGGCGGAAGTTCCGGTGCTGAAATAATGCATGCCTGAAGCCGATCATGAATGACTCTGTAAACACAAGGTGACTAAAAAAATTTAAAACGCAAAAATGAAACTTGGATATGTGTAGATAACTCCAAGGAAAATCCATTCTGAGTAGTTATATATAATCTCCTAAATGTCATCTGTTTTTTTTCCCCCGCTCTGGAGAAGCCCATGTTCTCTCTTTTTTTTTGGGGGGGGGGGGGGCTTTTTGGGTCTCACCCGGCAATGCACAGGGTTTACTCCTGGCTCTGCACTCAGGAATTACTTCTGGCAGTGCTTAGGGGACCATATGGGATGCTGGGAATCGAACCCGGGTTGGCCATGCAAGGCAAACGCCCTACCCGCTGCGCTATCGCTCCAGCCTCCCATGTTCTCTCTTTGAACACAAATTTCCTCTTTGCCCTCATATCTTTCAGTAAAACTCTCTAACTCTCTCTCTCTCTCTCTCTTTCTCTCGCATGCACACGCACGCGCGCGCGCACACACACGAACGCTTTCATTCAAAAGGTAAAACTTAAAAACATCTAAAGATTCCTATAAATTCAATTTTGCTCTTGGAGCCCGTGTTTGTCTTTGAACACATATCTCGCCTGTTCATCTATGTTTCTCACCTACTTCCACTGTGGACAAGTCTGTGTTCTCAAATGTACTTATTTCTCCCTCTTTCTCCACTCACATCTTTCTAGAGTTTCAATTAAAAACTTGCTTGCGTCACCAAATAATAATAAATAAGGTTTCCATCCAATTCCATTGCTATGTTTAGAAACAAGTTTCTGGTTTTAAGTTAAAAAGTGCTGCTTATTGTTAAATTTCTATTTTATTTTGACCAGTAAAGGTAATACAAGGAAATAATTTCAGAGTGTACTTTATACCTATTTTCATTCCTTATTCTCTTTTCCCAAAAGTTTATAGAAGGGGCTAGTAATTAAATCAGTAAGCTCCATGAAGTCCTGCTTGTTACTGCTGAGCCAGATATTGCTGTTCCTGTCTCACGGTACAGAACCCAGGCTTAAGAACATATGAACTGAAAAAGGACAAATCCAAAAGTGATTCTGGGAGGTGTGGGCTGCCCTAACCATGGCTGAAAATGACCTAGTACTCAAACAAGGCTTTTAAGGATCACATTCATCAAAAGACAGGTATGATAGTTGAAGTGAGACACAAAAAGAATCTAAGATGATGACATTTATGACAGAGGACTCGCACATGTCGTGACACACATGTGTCAGTAGTAATATTTTGCCTCAAAATGGGGTTTGCTGCTTTCTTATTTAGCTCTTCCTGAAAAAGCATGTAACCAGTGATTCTACTGGACATCTTTCCTAAAACTGAACACTTGGGATTTACTTCTCCCAAAACCTTTATCCATCCCACCCCAAACGGTAATCACATTCTTTCAGTTTTTTTTTGGGGGGGGGAGGAGGTGGTGCGGAGGAGGGGTTGGGGCCACACCAGACTGTGGGTAAGGCTTACTCCTGGCTTTGTGCTCAGGAGTCATTTGTGGCAGGGCTGAGGGGACCATTCGGAGAGCTGGGGAACATGGAAGACAAGCACCTTACTTGCTGTACAGCACCAAAGTGACATCACCTAAATCCATCAGCTGCATCTATGACCACATCTGGCCCACTTCTCTTCACCTCTGCTCCCCACTAGTTCAAGTCAGGACTCCAGCAAGTCTCTGACTCGCCTTTGTAGCTCCGCACAGCAACCTTAAAAATCTTCCTCCTGGGCCAGAGGGATAGTACAGCCAGGAGGGCAGTTGCTGGCATGTGATGGCCCTGGCTCAAATCCCAGCACCCCAGACCGTCTCCTGAGGAGTGCTCTCCCTGAGCACTGCGGAGTATGGTCAAGTATTAAAATTCTTCGTGCCTTCTTTTTGTAAATAAGACTCAGAAGCTTTACAAAGTACGAAACACAGTCGGACCCTGAACTCCCTCGGCCTCACCTATTACTCTCTCTTTTCCTCATTCTCTCCAATCTGAATCTCCTGATGTGCATTCATTCAAGCGGTCCTCCCGCTCACCGGGTGTGACCCAAAAAGGGAAAAAAAAACCCCACGCTGCTAGAAAATTTTCCCACGAGCAGCTTCTCTTTGGCTCAAGAGACACAAGGGGAGCCCTGCCAGGCACATGGAGGTCCGTTAAGCGGGTGACTAATGACATCATTTTCGGTCGTGGCCTCCCCCTCACTCCATGTTCATGCTTTCTGCACAGCAGCGTCACCGGGTGTTTTTAGATCTGCAATTTGGGGGGGCTATGGGCTACACTGGGCGGTGCTCAGGGGTCACCTCTGGCGGGGCTCACCCCTGACGGACCTCGGGGGTCACCCCTGGCGGGGCTCGGGGTCACTCGTGACAGACCTCGGGGTCACTCCTGGCGGACCTCGGGGTCACTCCTGGCGGGGCCCGGGAGTCACTCCTGAGGGGGCTCGGGGTCACTCCTGACGGATCTCGGGGTCACTCCTGGCGGGGCCCGGGGGTCACTCCTGGCGGGGCTCGGGAGTCACTCCTGAGGGGGCTCGGGGTCACTCCTGATGGACCTCGGGGTCACCCCTGGCGGGGCTCGGGGGTCACTCCTGAGGGGGTTCGGGGTCACTTCTGACAGACCTCGGGAGTCACCCCTGACGGACCTCGGGGTCACCCCTGGCGGACCTCGGGGTCACTCCTGACGGAACTCGGGGTCACCCCTGGCGGGGCTCGGGGGGTCACTCCTGACGGACCTCGGGGGTCACCCCTGGCGGGGCTCAGGGTCACTCCTGACGGACCTCGAGGTCACTCCTGACGGATCTCGGGGTCACTCCTGGAGGGGCTCGGGGTCACCCCTGGCGGGGCTCGGGGTCACTCCTGACGGACCTCGGGGTCACTCCTGGAGGGGCTCGGGATCACCCCTGGCGGGGCTCGGGGTCACTCCTGACGGACCTCGGGGTCACTCCTGGAGGGGCTCGGGATCACCCCTGGCGGCGCTCGGGGTCACTCCTGACAGACCTCGGGGTCACTCCTGGCGGACCTCGGGGGTCACCCCTGGCGGGGCTCGGGAGTCACTCCTGAGGGGGCTCGGGGTCACTCCTGACGGACCTCGGGGTCACTCCTGGAGGGGCTCGGGATCACCCCTGGCGGGGCTCGGGGTCACTCCTGACGGACCTCGGGGTCACCCCTGGCGGGGTTCGGGGGTCACTCCTGGCGGCGCTCGGGGTCACTCCTGACAGACCTCGGGGTCACTCCTGGCGGACCTCGGGGGTCACCCCTGGCGGGGCTCGGGAGTCACTCCTGAGGGGGCTCGGGGTCACTCCTGAGGGGGCTCGGGGTCACTCCTGACGGACCTCGGGGTCACTCCTGGCGGGGCCCGGGGGTCACTCCTGGCGGGGCCCGGGAGTCACTCCTGAGGGGGCTCGGGGTCACTCCTGACGGACCTCGGGGTCACTCCTGAGGGGGCTCGGGGTCACTTCTGACGGACCTCGGGAGTCACCCCTGACGGACCTCGGGGGTCACCCCTGGCGGGGCTCGGGGTCACCCCTGACGGACCTCGGGGTCACCCCTGGCGGACTTCGGCGTCACTCCCGGCGGTGCGCAGGGGGCATACGCGGTGCCGGGGACCGAACCCCAGTCGCAAACGCCCTCCCCGCCGTACCACCGCCGCGGCCCCGTTCATCTGACTGTTCATCTGCTTCTCTGCTCCGGGGGACGCGCGCTCCGGGACTCGGGCTCTCCGGCCGGCTTTACCTGCGCGATGGGCACCGCACACAGGGCCACGCCGAGCCCCACGGCCGCCGGCCGGTGCCACGGCCTCAGCAACTCCGAGAGGCGGCGCTTCCTGCAGCTGGCCACGGCCGGCCCCGGTCGGCACCTGCGGAGACGAGGCCGTGAGCCCGCGCGCGGAGCCGGCGGCGGCTCCCGCCCACACGGACCCGCGGGTACCTGAAGTAGGAGGCGACGCTCCGCCACAGCCAACGCCTCAGCGCCGCCATCCCGCGGCCCGCGGACGCCGCGCGCAGGCGCCGGAAGTGACGCCACTTCGCGAGCAGGGGCGGGGCCGGGGCGCTGGCCCCGCCCCGAGGAGCCGCGGGATTGGGCGGCCGGGAGGGGGCGGGGCTCAGGGTAACGGCCCGTCAACCGCCTCGCCCCGCGCCAACCGCCGGGGCTGCCCGCGCGACCCCGCGGCCGGGCGCCGGGCGGGGCGGGGGCGCGGGGCGCCGGGCGGGGTCGTTCTCCGGCTCGCGGGGCGGGCGCGGCGCGCGGCGGGGCCGGCCGGGGCGCTGTCACTTCAGCACCAGGAAGTAGGTGGTCCAGCCGGCCAGCAGCAGCGCCCCGAGGAGCACCGTGTAGCTGAGGAGCACGAAGGCCAGCAGCTCCCGCAGCAGCTGCAGCACGTGGACGGTGGAGGCCGGCATCGCCCTGCGCTGGGGTCCCGGAGCTGCGGGCCGGGGGCGCCGGGAGAGCCCTGAGTCGCGGGGCCGGCTCTGCCCTGCCCTGCCCTGCCCTGCCCTGCCCAGCCCGCCGCCCGGACCCCGCTCTGCCACAACACTCGTTGTCCCCAGCCCCGTGGCCGCCGTGCCCACCCCCCACCCAGGACGGGCTCCTGCCCCACTGCCCCTCGCCCAACTCCTGCGTTTCCGCTGAGGGCTGCAGCGGGAGGCTCCCCGCGCCCCGCCGGCCGCAGACCCCGCGCGAGGGCTCTGCCCGGGTGGGCATCCTGCGAGCCTGGCCCGCGGCCTCCGCAGAGGCACCCGGCCCTTCCCGTCCCCGCGGCGCCCACTCCGGAAAGTTTCCCCGCTCACCGCTCGCCGTCTCCGCAGGCTGAGGACCTCCCTGAGCCGCTGCCCTCCACTGCTAGGTGTGGTCTGGAGCCCAACCACAGTCTGCACGTGGTCCCCGCGCTGCCCAAGCGCCGCCCAGCGCCTCGCAGGGGCTGAGCCAGCGGCACCCGGGGGGCTACTTCGAGTCCCTTCTTGTCTTGCTTTTTCTGAAGCCTGCCACGGGCTCGCCCAGTCAAGCTCACGTCATCGTGATCGACAGTCCCACAACGACCGTCCCCGGAAAGCAAACAGTGCTGTGTTAGCGTGCGCGTCCGCCCGAGAGTCCCGAGGGCTCGCCGTCCAGCTGCGCAGTTGCTCTCTCCAGCTTCCTTCCCCTGGTACCCGCTCCCAACCTGGACTCCTTCAAGCAGGAGGCAGAAAGAGCCAGAAGGGACCCGCGCGAGAGAAGGGCCCTTCCCCACATAACCACTGAGGGGAAACGCCGGCTCCGGGTGCCTCTCAAGAGTTCGCGTCCTGTGTTTGCCGGTAACCACTGGTTTCTGACCTTTCAGAAAGCAGGCAGTGGGGACAGCAACCCCTTTATCAGCCTCATCATGCAGAAGCAAATGGCTCCTTAATTTGATCAGGCGCTCTTGTTATCAAATCATCCTCCGGCCGCAGCCTGCCGAAGACAGGCGCAGAGCATTATCGAGCCGCTCAGGAAGCCAGTGGGTAGTAATTGCTCCCCCAGAGACAACCGGCCACGGGCAGGGCTTCTGGGTAAGAGGCCGTGGCTGAGGTCTGGAGCCTCATCCTATAGCAAGGGGCCATTAACACAGGCTGGCTCCCATCCCCTCCGCCCAGCCTTCAAGGGGATGCATCACCGTAGCTGCTGGCCACCACCCAATCGGGGTACTTTATTAGCACCACAGTAAGTGAAGCTGAGAAACGGGATCTGAAGTTCACGTGTATGCACTGAAGCCAGAGAATCTGAGAATTGTATCATTTTCTGTAATGACTGGCTGCATGTCACCACCAAACAGCATGACCGAATATAACACGATTCCATTGCTAACAACTGCGGCTTATGTGGTGTCCTCGTTCTAGGACCCACATCTTGCTCACACTCCATCTTCTGGAATGCTTTTTTTCCTGCTCATCTTTTCAAAAGTTTAAAAAAATTGTTTTAAACCCAGGTGTCCTAAATGTAAACACTTTCTCCTAGTCACAGGTCACTCTTAACCAATAACTGAGAGAGAACAAAGATAGTTGAGAATATGATGATGAAATCGTAATCCAGTTCCACTGAGGGCTAAGCTGGAATGGGCCAGAACGCATTGAGAAGCCCTTCCTTCTCAGTTCCGTCCAAGAATGAAAGGTGCTGTTTTTCATTTTATCTTTTTTGGGGCTCTATGTCAGGGATCACTTCTGGCAGGGCTTGGGGGAGGGGGGGTGGGCGTATGTGGTACCAGGGATAAAACCGTGTGCAGAGCCAGTGTGCAGAGCCAGTGCCCTGCTCACCCTACTAGTTCTCCAGTCTAAGGTGAATTTTTGTTTGGGGGCCACAGAAAGTTCTGCTCCGCACCACTCGGAGGGGATTCAGGACGCTGGGGATCAAACGAGGGTATGCAAGGCAAGCACCCCGCCACTGACTATCCTCCCCACCCCCTCGGTGAGACTTCTGATGCTCTCCCTCCTAGCTGTTACTTTTCTGTCCCACATATGCAGTACAGTTCAAATACTGATTTCTCTGATGGCTGAAATCCAAGCATATAGTAACAAGCAAATGGCGTCTATATATAATGCTCCCTCTATGGAATTTTGTTTGTTTTGGGTTACACCTGGCAGTGTAACCCAAAAAAGCTCAGGGCTTACTCCTGGCTCTGAGCTCAGAGACCACTCCTGGCTGTTCTCCCATTTTAAGTTACCCCACTTGTGCCCCAAATCAATTATCCAACCCACCATCCACGGTTTGTTTTCAGAGACCATCAATGAAAGTCCACAGCTTGGAACATTCACAACTGGTGCTTTCTTTACTCAGTGGGTTCTCGTCTCCTCAAAGAGAAATGCAGAAGCAGAAGCAGGGCTGAGGGACAGTCTGACCTCATAGTCTGACTCCAGAGGAACTTCTGCGCTGAGTGCTGGGCTCTTCAGAGGCAGCTTCCTCCGCATGCCCTAGAAAAGCTTTTCCATGAGGGACTCAATCCAGGTGGAGCCGTTCATCAGTTTGGTGGTGGCGATCACGTACTCGGTGCCTCCGTCCTCCAGCTGGGAGAGGAAGCGCAGGGCGGCGATCTCGGCAAAGGTGACACCCCCCAGGAAGAAAACCAGAGTCACTCGGTTTTCTCCTGGCTGACCTGCAGGGTAAACATTTCAGAATCACTTACCACGCCACGCGGGCTTCTCGTGCTCTAGAGGCATTGATAGGGTCGGGAGATGGCTGCAAGGGCTGGAGCTCAGGCAACCCGCCGGAGATGCAGGGCCGGCCTGCAGCCACACATCCCCTCCCTGGCGTGAACCTACGTTTCTTCTGCAGGCCCGTGGGCAGCGGTTGCCGCTCCTCGAAGTGGGGGCCCGGGAGGATGCGCAGAACTTCCTCGATGCTGCGCCAACCAGGCCGAGAGAGCAGCTGGGCCAGCCGCACGCTGAGCGGGGCATAGCCGCTGTACACGTATGAGATGTCCGTGGGGTTCTGCGGAGGATTCGAGAGGGACACCTGGAGTCAACCAACTCCTCTCTGCCTAATGAATGGGCCATGGGAATTTTTTTTTTTTTTTGGCGGAGGCCATACCCTGCGGTGCTCAGGGCTCCCTCCTGGTGCTGCACTCAGGGAACACAACCTGGGTCGGCCACATTAAAGGCAAATGTCCTCCACGCTGCCGTCCTGGATTTGACTTTGGGGAGGAACACAGTGTGCTCCAGCCTACCCCGCTGAGCCCTGCCATCTCCACCCTCTACCCAATTCCCAATCTCTCTCTTCTCTCCTTCTCTCTCTCCCCCCCACCCCCACCCCTACAGCTTTATGCATCAGACCTGGTGGTGCAGAGCTGACGCATGGCTCTGCCCTCACCTCTCCTGGCCCTGAGTCCTTCTGTCTCAAACCAATCTCAGAAAGCTGCTTGGTGCCCCTGTGTGCTGGAAGGTGCCAGTGCCCGGCAGCCCGTGCAGAGGGCAGGGGCGTGGCCAAACCCCAGCACCGCTGGGTCTGAACATTCAACGGTCTGCCCGGGAAAGATTCCATCCGACCCCCACAGAAGAAAAACTGTTCATCGATTTGGTGAGAAACTTCTCCTATGGAAACTTGGCCCACTGCGGGGAGGGAATGTGGAGAGCTCTAAGCCCAGCCAAGCTACTCTCAGGCATTCTTCCGGGGGCCGAGGCCCCAGGGCACAGCCACGCCCAAATCTCCCAAGGGTGAGAGTGACAGCCCCTAGCATCACAGTGACCCCCAGTCTGAAACCCCCCATCTCTCACAGAGACTCTGAGTCCAGCAGCCCCAACTGCCCACGGTGAGTCAGTTGTGTTGGTCCCCAATCCTCTTACTTGAGGCTGGCCTTTTCGCTGACCAGAGGCTTCCTTGAGTCCTGACCAGCCTCCCCCGCCCTGAGGCCGAAGTGGACAAGGGCCCCCGCTTCCCACCCCCAGCCCCCATCTTCAAAAAGTGTCCCCCAACAAGCCCCACTCAGTCCTGGCTTCTGCAAGGGCAGCGCCTTCCCACCAGCAGGATGCCACACCACTGGGGAAATGTGTGTGTGTGTCTATGTACGTGTCTGTGTGTATGTTGGCGCGCGTGCATGTGCGTGAAGGCTCGGCTCGCCTATTAGATGGCGTGCATGTGACTGCGTGTGCTCGAAGACTCGGCTCACCTGCTCATTCACATCGTCCATCCAGAGGCGCAGGGTCTTCCGGATGGTGGGGTAGCTGTTCCTGCCCCCCTGTTGGGGCCGCAGCAGCCCGGCCTTCTCCAGGTTCTGTAACGTCAGGATGTGCTCGTAGCCGTATGTCTGCAAGAGAAGTTGGGGAGCCTGCTAGATCTCCCACTTCCGAAGAGGGAGCGAACATTTTCACTCTCATTTTGATACTATTGTTTTTGAGTCATACCTGGCAGCATGCAAGATGAGTGCCTTACCCCTTTCTAGCTCTTAGTTTTTTTTTTTTTTTTCTTTTCGGGTCACACCCGGCGATGCTCAGGGGTTACTCCTGGCTTTGCACTCAAAAATCACTCCTGGCAGTGCTCAGGGGACCATATGGGATGCTGGGAATCGAACCAGGGTCGGCTGCGTGCAAGGCAAACACCCTACCCACTGTGCTATTGCTCCAGCCCTATTCTAGCTCTTTGGACCCCACATTTTCACTTCAAAGTCAAAATGCATGGGCCCATCGTAAGGTAGATGACAGTGTACTGAAATAACTGAGTAAGAAAAGGAGGCCAACCACACCTCCTGCCATGCTATTTTCCAGATGTCTCCTTTGTTTTGTTTGCTTCTGCACGCCCCCCCATGCTCAGGGATCAGTGCTGGTGGGGCTCAGGGGACCCATATGCGTGGATCAGTGCTGGTGGGCTCAGGGGACCCATATGCATGCTGGGGATCAAGCCCAGGTGGGCCACGTGCAAGGCCAACTGCTTTTTTGGGTCTCACCCGGCGATGCACAGGGGTTACTCCTGGCTCTGCACTCAGGAATAACTCCTGGCGGTGCTCAGGGGACCATATGGGATGCTGGGAATCGAACCCGGGTCGGTCACGTGCAAGGCAAACGCCCTATCCGCTGTGCTATCGCTCCAGCCCCAACAAGGCCAACTGCTTTTTTAAAAAATTTCTCCCTTGGCAAATGAGTCACTTAGAAACACTGACCTGGAGAATTTCTCTTTTGTAATAATCCAGAACCTTCTGCTTGAGCCCACTGTTGCACACCGACTGCAGGCAAATGAGCCTGAGCACCTTGATGAGCGGATGCTTCTGGGCGATGCAGTCCTCGATATAACTGTTGACCTAGAGTCATGGCAGGTTTGTGCGTGAGCACCGGGACTGGGCCTGCAGGCCTGGGCGTTCCCAGGTCCTCAGAGGCCAGATCAAAGAGAGGCTGGAGATTGGCTCACGCTCCTGCCCACACTCCCTGGACAACCTAAGCTCCAGGGGCTGCGGGCGGGTGCAACTGTCCCACTTGTCAGCGACACCTGAGCAGCATCAGTAAAGTAGCAGGGACTGTGGGGAATTTGGGCGCTTGCTTGCTGCAAGTGAGAATGCGGGATTTATTGACAGGCAGACAGGAAAAGGGACCATATAACCCACGCTCTTAAATTATCCGTGATGGGCTTCAATAGTCTTGGGCTTGTTTCCCAGCCCAAGACTCCCAGCTACCCCACATGCAGGGTCTTGTTTCTCTGAGGACAGCGAACAGCAATGGAACACACACACACACACACACACATACACACACACACACACACACACACACACCCGGTCAACAGAAACCTATCCCTTGGCAGAATCTCTTTCCGCACATTTTGCTCTGCCCTGGCAGGTATTTAGGCCAGACACGGAAATTCAAGTGATTCCTTTCCTACCTCGAGTTCTGTTTGCCAATCTGGTTAACTATCGGCTAAAACGGTTTTAGTGTTCACATACCTTATCGGTGTCTATTCCGGACATAAACTCCTGCTCCACGGTTAACTTATCAAAGAAGTCTTCAGATGCTGAAACATAATTAACACACGAGCATCTCAGAAGTGGGAGAAATGCTCATTTCTCCCGGAGGCATGCAAAGTAGCAAGCAAGCACCAAGTTTAAGTCATCACCGGGAAGGCACCTTCCAGAACAGTGAGGCTGACGGCCTGTGCCCCGAGGTGCGCCTAGACACAGAGCCCCGGGGCCTGGGCCCTAGCAGCTCCCCCTTCACACTAATTAAAGCAATTTCCCAAGGGCATTTTACTTTGGTTCGTTTGGGGGCCACCCCCGGTGGTGCTCAGGGATCACTCCTGGCAGGCTTTGGAGACCATATGGGACTCCGGGATCCAACCCGGGCCGGCTGTGTGCCAGGCACTGCAGTACCGCTGCAAGTTCAGCTCCTTGCAACATCCGACTGAAACCAACCTCAGCAAGTAGTGCCAGGTCTGGCGAAGCAGTGCTGGCGCCACCCGGAGCCTGGGAGAGCCCTGCTGCACCACCTGACCCCGCAGAACCCAACAGTCACACTCGGAACATTTCTGCGAGGACACAGCGGCTGGCACAGGGAACAATGCACAAGTGAAACAGTAGCCGGGGCCCCCAGAAGTAGCAGGGAGCCAGTGACACACCGTGAGCCTGAGCCCGGGACAGGGCACTCACTCGTCACGTCCTTGATGAGCTCGGCGATGGAGGTGTGGTTGGCCAGGGAGCCCCGCGCCGCCTGCATGTGGGGTAGCTGGGAGACGAACTGCTTGATCTCGCCCACCGTCTTGGCGTTGTGCCTTTCCTGAGGGAGGGGAGAAGGTCACGAGAGAACTGGGAACAGCACTCAGGGCCTCGCACACTCAGGGCCTTGCACACACACACACACACACATACACACACACACACTCTCACAGCGTGCCCCAGTCACAGCCCCAGCAGTGCTGGGAATGGCACCCAAGACCACACACACACACACACACACACACACACACACACACACACACACACACACACTGTGCCTCAGCCCCAGCCCTGGCTGCCAAGAGTGCATTTTTAAGAGTTTGGGTCTTTGGGTTGCCCAGGGCATGTTTGAATCATGTGCAAAGCAGTGCCCCGGGCTTCCTCCTGGCCTGGCACTCAGGGATCACTCCTGGCCTACACCGGGACCACATGGAATGCTGGGGAGTGAACCCAGGTCAGCTGCATGCAAGGTAAGCGCCTGGCCCGTTGTGCTATCCCTCCGGCTCCCCCAAATTAATTTTTAGTGTGAGAAACGGACACAAAACGAATTAGGCTATAACCAGATTCCACAGCCACAGGAAAATAGAAAAGGCAGTTTGGTGGGTCCAGGGACTGCAACAGCCACATCCTGCAGCACTGGGAGACCATGTGGACAGGGAGGGAGCCCAGGGCCCACGCAGGCCACACCTGACACTGCATGGTCCCTGCCAGGGATGTGGAGCTCAGCAAACTGCCTTGAAGCCACAAAAGCTAACGCTCGTATAGCCTGAGACCTCAACAATAGCAAATCAAGTGTGAAACGTTTCCTGGGCCCAAGCTATACAGTGGGGGAGGCGCTTGCTCAGTGCCCGGCCTCCCCACAGAACCCCGAGGCCTGCCAGGAGCCAGCCCTGAGCACTGGCAGTGGGAAGGGAGGGAACTGGACAGCACGGCGAGCTCGGAGCTGGCACAGTGAATGCCCGACACTTCTTATCCATAGCTTTATAAGTCACGGTGAGGAAATAAAAAATTGAGGAACAAAACCCAAGTGAGACAAAAGCAGCTTCAGAAATACAACAACCATGGGGTCAGAGTGACAGAACAGTGGTGAGGTGCTCGCCTTGCATGCGGCCAGCCTGGGTTCGATCCCCAGCATCCCATGTGGTTGCCTCAGCCCACCAGAAGTGATCCCTGAGCGCAGAGCCAGGGGTTAGCCCTGAGCACCTCTGGGTGCGCCACCCCTCAAAAAAAAAAAACCCCAAAGAAATACAAATACTGACATAGTGGAGATAACTCCTAAAAGAGATGAAATCAGGAAATCCATCCTTCAAGGGAAAAAGTGATTTTTAAAAACTTCCCCAGAGTTAAAAAATTCAGCTTCTATCATTTTACTGATTCAGGTTTCAAAAGTGACCTGAACCCAGAATAAAGAGCAGCAGGAGGGCGCGAGGTGCTAAGGAAGCTGGGGGCCGGGGACTGTGCTCTCATTATCACCCGCCGTTCCAGCCTGCTCGGGCTGATCCCGGATTCCCTAGATGCAGGAGCTAGCGGAGATGCCGCCACCGCCAGCGGCTGGGAGGAGGAGGGAGGGACAGGGAGTGCGGACGGTGACTGGCAAAGGACCTGACACCAGGAGAGAGCCTGGCACCACCTTTCCCCAGGCGCCCGCAGCTCGCCTGCCGCCTGGACCCAGGCCCCAGTCACCTCAAAGGCGGCCGAGATGACCTTGGCCTTCTTGCTGAGCACGGCGCCCACGGCATTGAAGTTGCGGTCACGGATCTCGGCGTAGAGCTCCTCGGCTGAGTTCAGCGGCAGCTTCTTGGCCTCTGTGGGCAGGTCCTGCCCATCACCCTGCCTCTTTGGGGCGAATTTCTCGGGCGGCAGCTTTACATGACCTGCACGGGAGGGGACACCCCATGTGAGACTCCTGAGACTTCCTATCAGGGGAGAGCACTGGGCTTTGAGTCACTAGCTGCGCACGAGTGCAGGACTTTTGACACACGGCTTCCCTGGCCTGGCCCGTGGGCCGCCTCCTGCCACTGCCAGCCCAAACCGAACTCAGGATGGGGCCACCCGAGGAAACATGCCCCAGGGCGGCCCACTGTCTGTCCTGCTGGCGCGTGCAAGTGCATGCAGTCTACACCGACATCTCAACAAGCCAAGAGGAGCCCAGGATGGGGCTGGAGTGATAGCACAGCAGGGAGGGTGTTTGCCTTGCACCGGGCAGACCCTGGTTCGATTCCCAACATCCCATATGGCCCCCTGAGCACCGCCAGGAGTAACTCCTGAGTGCAGCGCCAGGAGCAACCCCTGTACATTGCCGAGTGTGACCCCTGTCACTGTCCTCCCATTGTTCATCGATTTTGCTCAAGCGGGCCCAGTAACGTCTCCATTTTGAGACTTGTTACTGTGTTTGACATATCGAACACGTCACGGGTAGCTTGCCAGGCTTTGCCGTGCGGGCAAGATACTCTCCGAAAAAGAAAAAGAAAAAGAAAAACAAGATCCCAGGAATCACCTCAGCATGGAAGTGTGCATGACGGCGGGAGACAGCTCCGAAGGCTTCTTTCCTTTCTTTTTCCTTTCTCTGATATTTGGGCTACACCTGTCAGTGCTCAAGGCTTATTCCTGGCTCTGTGCTCTGGGCTTATTCTTGGCAGTGACTGGGGGAACCATATGCGGTCCTGGGGACCAAACTCACCCTAATTGCTGCACTGCCTCTAGCTCCAAGTTGGTTCCTTTTAAAAAAACATCTCCTCCAGTTTCAACACAAATCCCGACGTGTCTACACACCATCAGCTCCCCTGCTGTGGGTCCAGAGAGACGGGTCATCGGGGGCAGCTCACGCTCAAGTCCAGCTGTCCTCCTCTGAGCACTGCCCCGTGTGGGCCCTGAGCACTGTGGGGTGGGTACTGAGAATCATAAAGCAACAACAAGAACTCCTGCATCGGAGAATGTGGGGAGAGAAAGGGACCGACGGAAGAAAAATACTTCTCGGTGCTTTCCAAATCCTAAGCCCCTCCGAACAGCCCGGGCGCCAGCGTCTGGAGACAGCACGCCACGGTGGCTGCAGGATCCGGGGCCTGAGCACATGCTGAGATACACGAGGTCGGCAAGACCTCGCATTCCAGCTCAAAGTAGAGGGGCAGCCGCTGGCCCAGGCAGCCTGCACGCAGCTCCTGCACGGGCCTGCCATCGCCCTCGGTCCAGCCACGGGCGCAGAGCTGGGGGGTTATGGGGAAGCCCAATTTCCCCTTATTTTTCAGATTTCTCTTGTTTCTTTTTTGGGGGGTCACACCCAGCGATACACAGGAGTTACTCCTGGCTCTGCACTCAGGAATTACTCCTGGCGGTGCTCAGGGGACCATATGGGATGCTGGGAATCGAACCCGGGCTGAGCCGCGTGCAAGGCAAACGCCCTACCCGCTCTGCTATCACTCCAGCCCTCTCCCTTAATTAAATGTTTGAGCAGCAGGAAGTGTGTGATGTGAAGAGACTGTGAGTTCCTGAAACTCCTTCCTCCCGGAGGCACCCCTCGAGCCCCATCTCTCACACCTCCGCACCCCCAACCCCTCTGCCAGATCCCCCGAGAGACTTGCAGAAGCACCAGGAGGTGGGGACCCCTCGCCGGGGTGCTCCCGTGCCAGTGACAGCTCGGAGCAGGAGTCGGGGGAGGGGCTGTGTGTGTGGCATCACCCCCCAGCCGCTGCCAGGCACAGCCCTGGTGGCTCCAGGGCCACAGACTGGCCCCACAGAGCAGAAAATCACCGAGATCAGCCCCACGGCCCCTTGGGCACTGCTTACGACTGTCCCCAGAAAAGGAAACAACTTAAGAGGTTATCCTTCGGAACAACTGGTAAAAAACAAACCGGAAACACCTCCATAATCATTAAAGAGCAGGAAAACGCGTTGTTGTGTGGAAATGCCTCCACATGTGGTCCTGCTCTGCTTCCGTGGCCGCCGTCACTGAGCCACACATTCACCACTGCAGACACACACACACACACACACACACACACACACACACACACACACACAAGCCATCGCAATCCACTCTGCAATAACAAGCTTGGCACACTGGACAGACAGCACTGTCCGGACTCGGCCAGCACTCAGCGGCTGCAGGGCTCTGTGTCCCCAGAGAGACCCCATGCAGTTAGCTGCATCCCCGTCCTTCCAGACCGGGGCTCCATCCCCAAGGCTGTTTCCCCAGCCCACGACCAGGGCCACTCCTGAAGGCGCCGGAGTTACCCCTCTTGCGGCCTGGGGCTCCCTGTTCTGAAGAAAAAACACAAATCAGACTGGGGGAAACTTCTCAGACTGTATCCCAGCAGGAGCTACTCCCGGCTCAGTGCTCACTGGACTGAGTGAGGAGTGTGGATGGAACTGAGCGCTGGCTGTGCGCCTGGCACTAGCCCCGTGAGCTTTCCTAGCCCCCACTCAGATCTGAAATGCTACAGAATCTAACATCCAGGGCCAAACCCCCCTGACCTTGGACCCAGGCACCCCTCAGAAACGCTCTATTCCTCACGCCTCCCTGGGCGGCCCCGAGCAGCGGGGCTGCACACCGCATGGCCCTCTGCACAAGGCCTTCGCCTCGGTTTCCCCGATGGTGTCCTGGCTCGAGCTCGCTTTAACCTTGGGCTGAAAGTCAGTGCCTGACATTTTCAAGTATTCTGACTTACACACAAAGGCCGCACCTTCGAAAACTTTTGAGATTGATTTTACTCAGCTAACCTATTAGTAACTGATGTCACTTCACTTACTGTTCTGGATGCCATAAATTTCATCGATGAGTCCCTCGTATGTCAGCTGAGTCGCAAGGGGCGTTAATAAATCCACATTTCGATCAAGCAACAAGAGGTTATCAAAAACAGGAAATATGGAATTCTGGCTTCCTGTAAACTCTCTCTTCATCCTGATCATCATATTGGCCACTTGCTGGAAACAAAGTACAGAACCAGGCAGAGCCTTTTTAGCAATGGGCGGATTTTAAAATGAAGCTAAAAAGAGTCCAGCAATCCAAAATTTAAAAATAAGACGGAAAAAAATCGAACAATAAAATAAAACAAGACATGCCTGAGACAGTATGGTGGGTAGGATGCTTGCCTTGCAGGTGGCTGACCCAGGTTCAATTCCTGGCACCACATACGATCCCTCAAACCCTGCCAGGAGTGAGCCCCGAGCACTGCTGGGTATGGAGAGGGTGGGAGGAGGGAGAGTGCGAGAGAGGGAGGGAGAGTAGGGATGGAAAAGAAAAGATAAAGAACAGAAAAGAGAAAAGGAAAGAGGGCCGGGAGACAGCAGAGAGGCCAGGGGTCACTCCTTGTGCGCAGACAGCCTCAGTTTGGTGGCCCGAGCACAGAGCCAAGAGCACTGCGAGGTGGAGCCCCAATCCCCACCCGCAGGAGAGAGGCCTCCCTCCCCGCCCCGGCTCACCCTGGCGCACTCGCCCTTGCCGAAGATCTGGGGGATGGTCCCGTACAGGGCCTGCAGTGTCATCAGGCCCTTGGCCGCGTGGTACAGGCTCGTCTGGTCGCTGTCCAGGTAGCACTCCTGTGGGAGAGGGCCAGGCACGTGGGCACAGGCTCTGCGAGTCAGCACCGAGGCCCCAAGGCAGCGCCTCTACTGGGGGCGAGCATTACTGGGCGGGCCAGGAAAGGCAGGCCTCTGCATGCCCGCGTGACCACACAGCAGAACACGCTGGGCTTGCAGAAGGGCAGACAGCCTCTCCCACAAACAGCAGCGAGTGTCACAGGGGACAGGAGGAGGGCAGCCACGGTCTCGGAGAAGGGCCACAAGGTCCATTTAACACACAGACAAAAAGAAACATCTTTGGCCCAGAAAGAGGAAAGAGCACACACGCGCCCCCAGCCGGGCGGTTCAGCAGGTCTGACAGAGCACACACGGTCCCCAGCGGGGCCTCAAGATCACTCCTGCGCCTCAATCCCTTCATCCAGCAAGTGCAGAGAGCAGAGGAGGGAAACCACGCAACGCGCTTCACCTGCACTCCACCTGATGCGGCGGCACTGCTGGTGCCCATCACGGGACTCTCTATTTTTTTCCTTTTTGGGTCACACCCGGCAATGCACAGGGGTTACTCCTGGCTCATGCACTCAGGGACTACTCCTAGTGGTGCTCGGGGGACCATAAGGGATGCTGGGAATTGAACCTGGGTTGGCCGCATGCAAGGCAAACGCCCCACCCGCTGTGCTATTGCTCCAGCCCCTCATCGTGGAATCTTTGACCCTTTCTAAGGAAGCGGCCAACAGGCGTGCACCCCAAAGGCATGAGGACGAGGGGTGCAGACTGGGGGCGGGGTGCAGAGGGAGACCTCCCAGAGAGCCTGGCCCAGAGTGAGCACAGTATCGCCAAAGGTCCCGTAGGATGTCTCTGTCACGTCTGGGGTTCCAAGTCTGGGACACTTCTGTCCAAAACATCCTGGTCGGGATGTCCAAAGAGTCCTCAGAAAAGGACCAGAAATTCCTCATTGGAGCAGAGCAGAGAGGAAGATTCAGGGGAAGGAAAGCATTAGGGGGCATCTTTCGAACTGCTCAGAGGCCCAGGAAACTGTTCAGAGCGGGAACTGTGTCTGCCTGCGGACAGCAAAGCTGGTTCCTGCCCGGCCCTGCCCAGCCCCGAGCACCCAAACAAAACATTCATTTTAAAAAATGGTTTATTACTACAGAGACACCTCAAACAACTCCCACCTGGCGAGGCTCAGGGGATACCCCGGCTCTGCACTCAGGAATTATTCTGGTGGTGCTTTGGGGACCATATGGCTCAGCAGAACCGTGAGTCAACACAGGACGCCGAGGGCCGGAGTCTGCAAAGCCCCTGAGGGAGCCCCGGCAGGTCTGGTCACGCCAGGCATTTCCTCTCAGCTGCCGACTGTCTCGTAGAGGGACAGTGAACAGACAGACGGACGAGCCCGTCCCTGCACACAGATCCCGACCCCTGGCATCCTCTACTCCATGGAGCTGACTGCGGGGGGCTCCATGTGTGTGTGTGTGTGTGTGTGGGCAGGGGGTCGGACACGAGCAGCAGACTCCTTTCTGTGAGGACTGGAAGGTCCCCCATATTCACACGAGGAAGCCTCAGAGACAGACCTTGGTGAGGGCTCTGGGGCCCTTGGCAAACTCCACCTGGGCCGGGTGAACCCCTCAGCGCCTTGAGCCCAATCTGACTGCTCACATGACACACGCCAGGGTGCCCAAGTTCTGGGGTCCCTCAAGCAGACTACCCGGAGTGAGGGCCACTGCGAGCAGCTCAGGTGAGCAGAGCCGTGGCTACCCCCGCTGGGATGCCGGCTCGGAGGCCATCGTGGATCAGGGTGGGAGAGAAGGCGTGAATGCAGCATCCACGGGGGGATGTGGGGCCCTTGGCTCTGAGCTATCTCAGGTATGTCTGTTGGGATGGCCCCACCACGCCCGCACAGGGCCAGGAGCGACCCTGGGTGTGACCGAGACAGCCCCGACCCTCAGCTGGGGTGACCAAGCCACTTCCTCAAAGCTTCCGCATTGCTGACTGGGAAAAGGAGCAGAGAGGCTGCTCCCGGACCTGCAATGGTTCGGATGGAAGGCAAACCCCAAGTCCTGTCACCACACAAGGCCGGGCAGGCCCCTGTCCTGTCACCACACAGGGGCAGGCAGGCCCATATCCTATTACTACACAGGGGCATGCAGGCCTGTGTCCTGTCACCACACAAGGGCATGCAAGCCCCTCCCTGCTCCATGACTGGGGTGGGGAGAGACCATCGGGGGAGCCCAGGAATGTTCTGGATTCCACAGGCCAAAGCCCAGGGACGTGAGCAAACCCACGGGGAGCTGGGTGACAGCAGCCTAGAACCCAAGCGAGCTCCGGGTTCTTTCTCTTAAGGTGCTGCTGAGACCAACATGCTGAGGTTTCGAAAGGGGGCCTGGAAATCTGGTGATGCACCTGCGTTCTCGAAAGGTCGTGTCTTGAGACCAGCAGCAGCAGTACCACAAATCAACTCACATGCCCAGGGAATGCAGGGAAACGCGGTCGCGTCTCAAACACACCTGCACAAGCTTCCAATGGCAGAGGGCGCAGAGGGCGCAGAGAGGCACCGGGAGCGTTGGAGCCGTGCACGGGTTCAGGCTGACTCCCTGGCTTGGCACTGGGGGTCACACAAGGCGGGGCTTGGAGGACCATATGGGGTGCCAGGGAACGAACCCGGGTCTGCCAGGGGCAAGGCAAGTGCCCTACCCACCTTACTATCTCTCTGGCCCTGGTACGCCGTTTTTAGAGGACATTATCAAGCTGATGTGTTTCCCCCTTGCATCTTCCCCTTCATTCCGGTACTTATTTTCCCTTTCCCTCCCTTTCTCGCTGAGGCTGAGGGTCGCACACTCTAGGTGCTGGTTACCCACTTGGGGGCGGGGGATCTCACTCGGGCTGCCAGAACTCCAGCCATGCCCAATTTTCCCTATTTACAGTGAATAATATGCCATAGGAAAAACATCTGGTTGAAAACTCACATAAATCAATGCTTTTGGGTCTACAGATTCTTTTAAGGGACTAAGCATGGAGAAACCTCACCGCACAGAAGAAAGAGCCAGAGTTCTGGCCCGGGTGCCCCTAAGAGCCAAGCTGACACTTTGAAAGAGAAATATTTCAGAAGTGCTCCCTGTCATAAAGATAGTAAACAAAACATATAAAATCATATTTGCAAACAAAAAACCACCTTTCAGAAAAAGACAACATTTAAAAAAGAAAAACTCCGGGGGTCCAGATAGATACTTCAGTGCGAAGGTGCTTCCCTGGCATCAACGAGTCAAATATGGACCCCTGAGGACCCTCAAGAGTAATCCCTGAGCATCACCAGGTGAGGCCCCAAGCAAAAACCAAAGCAAAGCAAACAAATAAATATGTGCTGAAAATAACCAGTAGGAAACAGGCTGGGACGGGCGTGTGGGAGAAACAGAATTTCCTGCACACCCTGCACCCAGCCCTGAGGTCACACTGCAGAACCTCAAGAGTTTGAATGAAAAATGTAGGCAATTGTATTTCTAGAAAATGAGAATGTAAGATTAGAGTCTTCAGGTCTTGCCAAGACTCAATCAAGGGGAAAGGCTGTCACGAAAACAAAATCCCTCACAAATGGCTAACTGGAAAAACGCAGTGACAGACCTGCCTATTTCTGGCTGGAGCAGCCCTGCCTTCCACTTTCGAAGCTTCCTCCACAGTCAGTCAAGTCAGGGTGGGACGGGCACAAAGACAAACATCGACCAGCAGCAGAGAAACACCAGAAATAAACACATTTAAGGACAATTGATTTTTGAGAATTCAGTAAGGGCAATCACAATTTTAAGCGAATTCGTTGAAACAGGAGGGTCTCCATAAGCAAGAGGAGCAGCGGCCCGAGAGACAGCACAGGGGAAGGCGCTGGTCTTGCACGCAGCCAACCTGGGTTCTATCCCTGGCAGCACATATGGTCCCCGAGCATGGGCAGGAGTGATCCTTGAGCACAGAACCAGGAGTAAACCTTGAGCACTGCTGGGTGTGGCCCAACTCCCGTCTCTCCCCAAAAGGAAGAAACTGGAGGCTTCCAGGAATCACTGAAATGCCAGTGTCAGTGTCACCATCACAAACGAGGCAGAAACGAGCGTCAAGTTCAAAGGGCAAACACTGAACTTACTCGGAAGGCGCCCTCCGACTCCATGGAGAGAAGGTCCCCGTCGAAGGGAATGAGGTCCAGGCTGTACTCGTCCCTGTGGATGAAGGAGCCCAGGACGCCCAGGTCCTTCAGCCGCTGCTCACACAGCAGGCTACGCCGGGGCACAAACAAGATGTGGAAATCTCTTGTGGGGCCACGTCTGTCTTCACTGCAAGAGAAGGACCGTGCGTTGGCCCGAGGCCCTGAGGCAAGGACTGCTCCCCAGGGCCCCACCTGCGCCTGACACACAGTGGGCTCTAAAGAGACGCTTATGAGCTACCCCCCACCACTGACTCGGCCCAAGATTCTAGTTTTCTTGCTCTCTTGATTTTGATGCTTTGTCTGGAAACCGCTGACCTGTGCTCTGCCAAGGGGCAGTGTTGCTTTCACTTGGACCATTGATGGGACATGAAAACTCTCAGGGTTGGGGCTGGAGCAACAGCACAGCGGGTAGGGCGTTTGCCTTGCACGCGGCCGACCCTGGTTGGATTCCTAGGTCCCAGCATCCCATATGGTCCCTTGAGCACCACCGGGGGTAATTCCTGAGTACAGAGCCAGGAGTAACCCCTGTACATTGCCGGGTGTCACCCAAAAAGAGGGAAAAAAAAAGCCTCTCAGGGTTATTGCAACGGCCATCTGTTTCTTGCAGAAAAAACATGTTTTTATTTAATCAAGCAATGTGTTGGCTTGTCTATAGGAAAATAAAAGGTTGCTCCACACCGCACCCGATCTTGTGCAAACAGCCCGCATGCTTTTAAGTCCTTAGGGGCCACGTCGATCAAACGTAATGCAGACTGGGCTGGTGCACTTCCTCCATAGATGCTGCAGCATTAAATTTTAATCAGTTTCTCCTGACTTTGCTTATAAAATTTGAGCATATGGTATTCAGTAATTGAAAAGCTGTTTTTCTTTTTTTTTTTTTTTTTCTTTTTGGGTCACACCCGGCAATGCACAGGGGTTACTCCTGGCTCTGAGCTCAGGAATTACCCCTGGCGGTGCTCAGGGGACCATATGGGATGCTGGGAATCAAACCTGGGTTGGTCGCATGCAAGGAAAACGCCCTACCCGCTGTGCTATTGCTCCAGCCCCAGCTGTTTTTCTTTTTATAAAGAAATTTGGGTCCTTCTACTGAGACAGGATGCAGCTTTCTACTGTCCTGAGAGAGGGCGTTTATGTGGTTAGCCTGCCTCCCCAACCCCCAATACACAAAATTTCCCATTCTTTATTTACAGTTTTTGGGTCACACCTGCAGGTGCTCAGGGCTAACTCCTGGCTATAGGCTCAGAAGTCACTCCCGGGAGACTTGGGGACCGCACTGGGTTCCGAGGATCTATCCTTGGCTGACTGCAGAGTATCCTGCTCCTGACCCCCCACTCTCCTCCGACACACTCTCACATCTGTCCAAAGATCCACTTCCCAAAGCGCTGGCAAGCAAAGGTGTCCTGATGAGCACTCAAACCACTAGAGGAATGATTCCGTATGGACCCAGCATCAGCTCTGAGATACCTAAGCACATTTTCAGCAATTATATCCATCAGTTCTAGCCGGGGTCTGACGAAAAAAATGATATTTTTGACATCGGCTGCTGGCAAGCGGCTTCCTTTGAGTGTGAACATTTTCTCCACCTCATGTTCCTAGGAAAGCACACATACAAATGGTTAACAGAACCCCTATAGCTTAGCAGCCGACCCAAACTCGGACATCACTGCAGGCAGCCGGCCCGGGTTGGATTGCCGGCCTCCCGCACCGTCCCCAAACACCACCAAGAGTCAATCGTGAGTGCAGAGCCAGGGGTAAGCCTGAGCACTGCCTGGGGTAGCCCAAACAAAACAGACCAACAACAAAAACTCAGGTGTTGTAACACTCCCGCTCCAAAGCACAGTATACTTTAGTGTTGAGTCAGAGAGTGCAGGGGTTAAGGTACATGCCTGACACATGACTGCCAACTTCGCCCCCTGGCACCACAAGGGTCTCAAGCATTGCCATGTGCATCCCAAGAGAGGCCACTGGAGTGGCCTGGGCGACCCCTGCCACCACAGCACCAAGCATCATCGAACTGCTAAGAATCAGCACCAGGAGGTGCCCTGGGGCAGTGCTCAGGAGACCAGGGGCCAGGGAGAAAGTAGAGCGGGGAAGGTGCTTGCTTTGCATTCAGCTGACCCGGGGTTCTATCCCCAGCACCCCATACTGTCCACTGAGCACTGCCAGGAGTGATCCTGAGTGCGAAGCCAGGAGTAAGTCCTGAGCACTGCCTGGCACGAGCCTCCAAATAAAATTCAAAACCACTTTAGTACAAAAATTTAGATTCCCCAAAGCCAGGTGTATAAATTCAGGCTGAAGTAACCAATCCTGTGTCTGAAAAACTTTGAGCCACATGAAGTAACAATCAGAAGACATGCCGCTCCGTCGAGGAGAAGGGGGGGGAGCACACCCACCCTTGAAAGGTCCACTGAAGGCTCCTATGCTGCCCGAGCCCCTGAGCTGCCTGTGCCCATGTAGCCGAGCCAATGCGGTGCCCGCAGCTCTCCTTGACATGGGGGCTTTTGTGCTTTCCTGTCTAATCTCGGGATGTGTGTAGGGGCTCTCTCTGCCTTTGGAGAAGCCCACGGTCTCTCTTGAAATGTTTCTCTCTCTCTCCGCTCGTCCTCTTCCTAAAAGTCACCAAATAAAAGGTTTTTTCCTTCAAATAAATAAACAAAAGGTCCACAGAAGATAAAACATTTACCACTCATAACAGCGTCAGTGATTCTAAAAGCCAGACAGAGCTGCACACCAGTTACTCCAGAAGTGGAACATCACATTACTCTTGCTAGAGTCCAGAATGGCAGTTTCAAAAAAAAAAATAATAACCAAAACCCTTTTACCTTTAGAAGTGAGTACTGTGCAATCAAGCCAAACGGTCCTGTGAGATACTCATCCCAAACTATTGCCTGCGGGAGGGAGAAGCATCCCGTTATTTGAGTGAAAGGAATTTCAATAACGGCCAGCAGCAAACAACAGCCATTTGCAAACTCTGGACAAACAAAGCTTGCAGTGAGCAACAGCTGACACACTCATATTCCGTGGCCTGAAGAAAAACAGCATCAGGGCAAGGGTGCGACTGGCCACGGACGCACAGTCACTGTCCTCCACAAAGAGTGTGTCTGCAGGGTCCTGGGGTCAGACTGGGGTCATGAACCCCGCGGGTGAACTGCCAAGGAGACCGTGGAGGAGCAGGCAGCTGGGAAAGTGGCTCCAGGGTCGCAGGCGGCGACACCCGCACGCGGGACAGCGGGGAGGGCCTGGACGCGGGGCTGCGCTCGTCCTGCCAGACGGACTCGAGTCGCCCCGTTTTCCCTCCCAGGACTCGAGTCGCCCCGTTTCCCTCCCAGGGCCGGGCCGCAGGGCGGGAGCGCAACGCCCCCTCTTTCCGGCTGCACTGGGGGGCGCCCCCGGTTCCAGAGGCCGCCGCCCGCCCGGCCCTCACCTTGCTGCCCGCGCACTTGTCCAGGAACTCGCGCAGCTCCCGCCGCACCGCCTCCCGCAGCACGTTCAGATTCACGCGCCCGTAGCACAGGTGCGCGGCCATGGCGCCGCCCGCCCCGCCGCCACGTGACGCGCCGGTCACGTGAACGGCGTGACGTCACAGAGCCGCCGGAAGTTGGAAGCGTCCGGCGGCCCCGCGCCTCTTTCCGGTCCGGGCTTCCGCCTCTTGGTTCCGCCCAGCCCCGACCATCCCGCCCGGGTCCGAGGGTCTCGCGTGGCCCCGGCGCGGCCCGTGAGCGCCCGGGAGCCGAGACTGGCGTTAGAGTCGGCAGTGGTGGTGCTAAGATGTCGGGGCGACCCCTCCCTGGGCAGCCCCTGGACACCGCCGCGTGGGGCCAGAACGTTGGTTTTGTTTGTCTCTTTGGTTGAGATAAAATAAAGAGAAGGGACCCAAGGACAGCGCCGCGGTTCGGCCGACCCGGGTTCGATCCCCAGCGTCCCATAGGGTCCCCCAAGCACCGCCAGGCGTAATTCCCGAGTGCAGAGCCAGGAGTAACCCCTGAGCACCCCTCATGTGACCCAAAAAGCAAAATAAATAAATAAATAAATAAAAGACACAAAATGACTAAAGATAAAATTGGTCCTCGTCCTGCTGAAAAGTCTCACCTTTGGGGGCTGGAGATAGTACCGGGATGGAGGCATTTGCCTGCAGGAGGGATATGCTTCATGTGCTTCAGCCCCTGCAGCCCCCCAAAGAACGCTGATGAGTAAGGCTCAGTTGGGGCCAGGGAGAGGCGCCAAGCTTCGGAAGCTTCTGGAGCGTGGGAGCTGACTCCCACCACAGCTGCCAGGTGAGGCTCTGCTAGCACCGCTCACCAGCCCACTGCACTGCTGCTCGCTCAAAATTTCAAGATTGACTTAAATTTGTTTTGTCTTTTTAAAAATGTTATTTTCTTTGTGAATTTTTTCAATCCTAGTGAAACACACGGAGTTGATCGTGATTGTTGGATTTCAGTCATATCATGTTCCAACACCTCTCCCTTCACCAGTGTACATCGCTCACCACCAATGTTCCCAGTCTCCCTACTCCCCCAGGCAGGCAAGGCACCTCTCTCTCCCTCCTCCTTTCTGCAGTGCTCTCTCTCTCCTCCCTCTCTCCCTCTTTTCTGTCTCCCCATCTCTCTCACACACACGCCTTTTGGTTTACAATACAGATATGGAAAGGTTATGTATATCTCTTTACCTACTTTCAACACCCAGTTCCCGTCCAAAGTGATTTCCAACCATTTCCAAGCATTATTGCCAGACTGGTCCCTACTCTATCCTAACTACCCTCTGTCCCCGATGCTTGTGGGAGCTTCCAACCATTGACCAGTCCTCCTGGCCTCCATTTTCCTAGCCTTGGATATCAATCTCCTGTATATATGTGTGTGTGTGTGTGTATATATATTATGGGCTGGAGAAATAGCACAGCGGGTAGGGCGTTTGCTTGCACGCAGCCAACATGGCCGACCCAAGTTCAATTCCTCTGCCCCTCTCGGAGAGCCTGGCAAGCTACAGAGAGTATCTCGCTCACACGTAAAGCCTGGCAAGGTACTCGTGACGTATTCAATATGCCTAACGCAGTAACAAGAAGTCTCACTATGGAGACGTTACTGGGCCCGCTCGAGCAAATCGATGAACAACGGGAGGACCGTGACCATACATATTATATTCCACGAAATGGGTGCTTATATTTGTCAAGGGAGTTGGGAACCATATCCAGCAGTGCTGAGGCTCCTCCTAACTGCGCAGGCATCACTCCTGGAGGGGATGCTAGGGACCATATGAAGTGCCAGGGAAAAGACTCTGGGTTTGCTGCTTGCTAGGCATCAGCCTTGCCCCAGGGCTCTCTCTCCAATCTACAGTTTACTGACTTACAACCTAGTATTACAGAATATTCACAGTACGATGTATTATTTGGATATCCTGCAAAGTAACCATGATTCCTGTATAGACCGTTTGAATTCCCTACCATAGATTCTAAAGTCAAGGACTGCTATTGGGGATTATGTAGGCTAAAAGTAACATTCTTGCTCAAGTTCTTTTTCCAGAAAAATCAACCTGAGGACACGTGTGCTTCAAACGTACAGGAGTTGGTGCTTATAAACATCGTTGGTTCTGTTAATTTTGGGTTAATAATATAGCAACTTCCAGTTTCTTTCCCAGACTTTAGGGATTGATGGTGTCTGTACTGCATGGTGTCCCTTTATTTTCGTCTTGTCAAATAGCTATGGAGAATCACTGAAGGTATTCATTTTAGGCTACATTGGTTATGAAGCTTTGCAATAATGCAATAGAGGTTTTATTTGTTTTGGTTTTTTTGCCTTTAAACCTCACCCAGTGGTTCTATTTTTTTTATCTTTTATAATTTTATTTATTGAATCACCATGAGAGCAGTTACAAAGCTTTCGGGTTTAAATCTTGGTTATAAAATGAAAGACCCGTACCTTCACCAGTGCCATTCTCCACCACCCAAAATCCCAGTATGCCCCCATCCCACACCCTCCCCCTACCTGTGGAGAGATGATTTTCACATTACGCTCTCTCTACTTTGATTACATTCAATATTTTGACACTGGACCCACCACTATTATTTGGGATTTTACCCCAACACTCAGAGCTGCTGAAAAGACAACAGTAGACAATTTGTTTTCTATTCCTGGTTATGAATAACATATGATGTCGCGTGGTTGTAGTAGTGGCTGCGCGATTTTGAAATTCCAAAATTTTAACAATTAAATCTGGAGGGATTTCTTGCCCAAACCTGCTGGGTTCCAAGATTTGTTCCTGAGTCTGTGGGATCATGGCCATTAAGCAGATTGATCGGGAGCCAGAAAGGCCGTTAGTGGGCGGTGACTAGGGGTCTTGCTGGGATGGGGAGGAAAGGGCTGGTCCCACCCCTATCCCGTGAGGCCCCACATGTCTCATCACTGAGGGCCCAAACCCGACTGTCCAATGGCTTCTGGAGGATGGCGGCCACCGAGCCGTCAAGGGGGAGCAGGTGGAGGGACAGCACCCTTTCCTCCCTGGAATGGCCCAGCGACAGTAACCTACTGCAGGGTTCAGATGCATTTCTGCCAAAAGCCATTGGATTCCGAGATTTGTGTCTGAGTTTCTGGGATCATAGTCATTAAGCACCTTAATCAGGACCCAGAGAGGCCGTTCATGGGTGGCGACTTGGGGTCACGTTGAGACGGGGAGGAAAAGGCTGGCTCCACCCCCATCCCATGAGGCCCCACATGTCTCATCACTGTGGGCCCAAACCTGACTGTCCAATGACCTCTGGCGGATGGTGGCCACTGATCCCCCAAGGGGGAGCAGGCGGAGGGACAGCACCCTTTCCCCCCCGGGGTGGCCCGGCAACAGTAACCTATTGTGCGAGCTGGATGCATTTCTGCCAAAAGTTGCTGAGTTTCGAGATTTGTTTCTGAGTCTCTGAGATCATGGCCGTTAAACAGCTCGATCAGAAGCCAGAGAGGCCTTTTGTGGGTGATGACTTGGGGATCTCGTTGGGGAAGAAAGGGCCAGCTCCACCCCCCATCCCGTGAGGCCCTACGTGTCTCGTCACTGTGGGCCCAAACCTGATTGTCCAGTGGCCTCTGGAGGATGGCGGCCAGCGGGCTGCCAGGGAGAACAGGCCAAGGCACGAAATCTATTCCCACCTGCGGTGGCCCAGCGCCTCTAACTTACTGCAAGGACTGGACACATCTCTGCCGAAAACCATTGGGTTTCGAGATTTGTTTCTGAGTCTCTGGGATCATGGCCGTTAAGCAGTTCAATCAGGGACCAGAGAGGCCATGCCTCTAATTATATAGCTGAACTGGAGGTGGTGTGGGTGTATCTCCCACATACCTAACTTTTCCCTGTTTACTTTCTTGGTCAACTCTGCCCCAACTTTTTGGGGTCTGGCCAAACGCACGGCAGCAATTTGGGGGTACCTGGAAGTCTGAAGGCGCCATCAGGCTGCTGATGCACTTGCCTCACAGGTACAGACTGACCTGCTGGTGGCACCATACCCCCATCCCAGTGCTTCTTAGGGTTTATTCCTGCCTCTGCACTTAGAGATTGCTCCTGCCAGGGCACAGATGACTGGATGGGATTCCTGCCATTGAACCCAGATCAGCTACCTACAAGGTAAGTACCCTACTCACTGGACTATCTCTTTAGCCCAAGATAAACGCTTTTAAGAAAATGGTTTACAGGTCCAGAGCAATAGTGCAGCTGGTAGGGCATTTGCTTTGCGGGTGGCCAATCTGGCTTCAATCCCTGACAATCCAAGTAGTCTGCCCGAGCACTGCCAGGAGTGATTCCTGAGTGCAGAGCCCTGAATAAGCCCTAAGACATCACCAGGGGTGGCACAAACATAAAGAAACAAGAAGAAATTGGTGTATCAGAATTCCATTGTAGAAACTGTTTGACTCATTTGACTCTATAGTTCTTCATTGCTAGCCAAAAATCTTTTCTAAATAAACCTGAGAATAATCAGTTATCACTGGCAAAAAATAAATAATTTTATTAAAGTAGATATAGAACACCTGTTTGCTCAAATTTTAATACTGCTTTACATAGTTTGTGAAACAATTTCAATAATGGTTATTACTAAAAATTTCAATGGATCCAGATCTTTCACTTGTCAGACAGTTGAGAATCTCCAGAGGAAAATACATCAAAATCATACATACAATTATAGAAGTTCTTATACATGTAGCCTGGATGGTACATTATTTATCACTTTTTACAGAACTAGAAAACATTCAAATAAAGAAAAATAGATTGAAACTGGATGATAAACTTCTGATTGTTGAGGTCCTTCATTCAATTTTTTTGTGGTAAGAAAATCCAAAATTAGTAATGTTGAATTTCTCATCATACATTCATCTAAAACCACAGTGAAAAACGTAAACCTTGTAAAGACAGTAAATTGGTTAGTTTAGGTGTTTCACAAGTAGCTTGTTATGTCATCCTTCAAGTGCTAGTGATTGCTGCACAGTGCAGAGAATGGGGTGGCCGGGCCGAAGTCGTTGTCGTAATTGTTGAGGTCGTTCCCATTCCCGTCGAGAGCCACCTCGGATATCATCTCCACTTTCATCTTGAGGTCCTGATT